AAACTTTTAAGCCTCTGCAAATGATGGTGTCAAAAGACAAACAATGAAGTGGATTTCAATGTTAATGGCCATAGTCTGTTATTCTAAACTATTTCAAATTTATTAGTATATTTATTATAATGATTTTAGGATCTGTAAATAAAAATATTAAGTAGGTTTGGCACAAGGATTCAGTGTGAATTTGAACGACACTTAACAATACATCCTTCTGATCACAATATGGACTTCACACATTTTACCCCAGTGAGAATCAAACTCTGGTCCGCAGAGTAGCAAACTGACACTTTATCCACAAGGCTACCTGAAAAGCTACAGACAAGCAGCGTATCTGCATAAAATACCCAAAAAAATATTCAAAACCCAATTACTTTTAATTAACTTGCATACAGAAAGGCATGCATTAAATGAAAAACTCAAATGTATAAAAACAGCACTCGTAAATACCCAAAGAAGCTTTTCCAGCATACATACAACAGAGCTAATTTCCGAAACACAATTACGAGCTAATTTACTTTCCGAGTCAAGCCTTTAGTTAGAACACTTATATACATCTAAAACATTATTACATTTTTTGGGAAATCTCAAAATGTTAGTTCATTTTGGGAAAAACCCAATAGAGTGATGAATAGATCAGTGAAAAAATATTGGTTACTCAATGAAAAATGTAATAACCCAATTAAAATAGGAACCTTCGAGTAAAAATTCAATTGCTCAAAAAGTTATCTGGAGTTCTGCTACCCCATAACCCAAATCATTGATAATAATGATAGAAGAGTTATTATTGAAGTAGCAGAGAGAAAATACACACAGTGAGTGAGGGCCAAGTGGCCTTGAAATCACCAAGAGAAATTGTCCTCCATCTCGTTTCATGTGTTCCTTGTCCAGTGTTCTCAATGCCTTTGTAGACTTTAACGATAAGCGAGTTATGAATATTGTATTTGTTTCGTTTCTGCAATATGGCCCCCTTGAAACCAGAAAACCATGCCAGAAACCTATGATCTGGAGTTTGAATCCCAATTCACCCCGACTGTTTCTGGGTTTGTCAGCACCATACACATTCTCATGGGTTTCACCGAAGTCGTAAACGTCTAAGACCTGCATCACTTCAGGCTTCCCTCCCACGTTCAGCTGACACGTCATGATGAGCTGGAATACTATTCAAAGCTATTATTATATCCTGAGAGGTGTTTGAGTCTGGAGCAGACAAACCGGTCGTCAGTAATGTGAGCATTAATCTATCTCAACTGGTTATAACAGGTGAATGCTAAGAAATGTCAGCTGTGTCATGTCTGGATCTAGTGGATAGAGCATCTGCCTGGAGAGCAGAAAGTGGATGGTTTGATCACCGGCCATGTCATACCTGTGCCACTTGTTTATATCAGCGAATTGTGTCATGTCCTGTCAGCACTGGATGTCACTCATGCTGTTAACCACTGATCTGTCTATTGAGCATAAAACAACATTCGCTTATTTAATTTGGGTAAAAGGCAACTATGCTTGTTGTAAAAGCCGACTAACAGGATCAGGTGGTCAGGCTTGCTGACTTCATTGATGCGTGTCATCATATCCCAATTGCATGGATCGATGCTCATGATGTCAGTCACTGGATTGTCTGGTCCAGACTCGATTATTTACAGACCGCTGTCATATAGCTGGAATATTGCTGAGTGTGGCATTAAACAACAAAAAACAACTTAACTGAACAGATTCTATACCTCAACTTAACAGTAAAACAAGTTAATGGAGTTTAGTTAATATTAATTTATTTGTTGTTTCCAAACTCTGCAATACTTTCTTAGCACTATCATTACTCCTAGTCAAGTCTCACCATGATTGTAGGGGCGGTCGGGTAGCCTAGTGGTTAAAGCGTTCGCTCGTCACGCTGAAGACCCGGGTTCGATTCCCGACATGGGTACAATGTGTGAAGCCCATTTCTGGTGTCCCCCGCCGTGATATTGCTGGAATATTGCTAAAAACGGCGTAAAACCATACTCACTCACTCACTCACCATGATTGTGGTGTGGCACTAAGATCACCGAGGTCATATGACAGACCTTATTGTCGTTAAGACACACTGCAACCCATTTAGTGCCACGTTCTGCATTCTACCCTTTTGTGCCCAGTTCATCACAAAGAATAGCCATAAACAGGCGCATCAGGAGTAACTGATGTTACACCTAATTAAACTTCCACGAACAATAAGGCACAAACATAAAGTCCCGATGTCACATCATTTGTCACTCCTTTGTTTTATATTGAAATATATCACCCATAATTCATCTCTTAAGTACCACAGTATGGAATACATTAATAGAGCCCTACTCCACTCTACCATTCCGACATCATATATGCATATGCTTCCTGGACAAAACTTTGTCAACTTGAGCCGTTATCCTACTTGTCATATTATTTCTGTGCAGCAGACATCAGTTTCACCCACATACCCATTCATATTATTTCCATTTTCAGAAAAAATGTTTTTAAACATTTAATGCGGTAGTGAAAAGTGAACTGGATGTCAACTGAAAAAGGCACTTCCTGATCTGTGATAAAACAAGCTGTGCCATTAATCACTGTAATCTTTGTTGTTGTCGCGTTGGTCATAATAATTGCATCTAAACCCCAATTATGTAACTGAAGCAGAGATGATTTGTGATGTGCCCGTTTCTGGTGGCCTCTGTCTTGATAGTGCGGGAATATTGCTAACAGTGACATAAAAATCAGCTCACTCAATCTGTCACCCCAAGATATCTCCAAAATTTTGTCAAAATTATGTTTCCTACACAGAAATAAGATGAAAGTCAATGGAAATCTGAAGAGATTGACAAGTTTCTGTAACATTAGTTTATTACCTCCTTCATTTTGACAGCCATTTCTAGACATATTATACAGTTTTGCCTCTAACTGCTACTTGTCTCTAGAATACAAAGAATTCCTATTAATATTTTTGAAAAGGTTGTTAGAAAGCATGAGGAATTTTCTTTGAAAGTACATTAAAAATGTCTTCTTTTTTCTGCACACTAGCTTTTGATTTGCCATTGTTGAGTGCTGTTGTATTCAAACTTGCTGCAGTCAAAAAGATATGTCATTATATTCAGAAAGAGTCATGTTTAGGTGTTTTAACTCCACATGTTTTAATTCAGAATGTCAAATGTAATTCTTCTTTAGATAAATCAAAGCCTACACCCTCTTAGAAGTTCATGTTCTTTGTTTTCTGCTGAACAGTTGGCATGAGAGGTTGAACATGAGAGAGGGTTAATATGAGATGTTGAACATGAGAGGGGGGTTAATATGAAACGTTGAACATGAGAGAAAGGGTTAATATGAGAGAGGTTTGACACTAGAGAGGGGGTTAATATGAGATGTTGAACATGAGAGAAAGGGTTAATATGAGAGAGGTTTGACACTAGAGAGGGGGTTAATATGAGAGATGGAACATGAGAGAGGAGGTTAATATGAGATGTTGAACATGAGAGAAAGGGTTAATATGAGAGAGGTTTGACAATAAAGAGGGGGTTAATATGAGAGGTTGAACATGAGAGAAAGGGTTAATATGAGAGGTTGAACATGAGAGAGGGGGTCGGTATTGGAGAGGTTTGACACAAGATAGGGATAATATGAGAGAGCTCGAACACGAGAGAAACCCCCTTTATTTGCTGCCCAGGGCCACACGTGGTAGTAAGTACAACATCGATGCTGGGCACCAGACCGGGGAGGGAGCAGTCTCCCTTTAAGAACAAACACTTCACAATGGATTCCTATAGTTATGTCAAGTGCAGCCTAGGGTATTTAGGGTATGTTGTAATGTTGACATTTGCGGTCTACTGATTGTCCTAAAGATGCATTCGTTTTGGTAAGCATTAGTGAAGGTAAATGGTGGTTCATGGGGCTTGATGCACGCAGTGACATCGACAGCTTTTTTACATGCTGTAATTTGACAATCATCAAAGTAAAAAGTGTGATTGTCATAATGTTTAGTGGCTCAGGGTTATTACTCTCTTTCATTGCTACTGCATCTTAGGATTATCTTCTGGGGATTGTGAGGCAGATCCCACGATCCACATGATTGTTGGAAGAATGGACTCAAATAGGATCTGATTGTAGGCTGTCTGGATGGTGACATCGGAGCAGTGGTGTACAATCTGTAGCTGTCACTTACTGTAAATTAACGTCCCTATTGGGAAGTCAACAATCACTCCATGATGATATCTTGGGATCTGTACCGCACAACTGTTTGTTTGTAGTACTTACAATGACCACTTAAAGTCTAGTATTCAAATGAGTCTGTTGGGTTTATCACCGCTTTTAACAGTATTCCTGTTATATCCCAGTGTGTCAACTTAATGTGAGAGCTAAGCCCAAAGTGACGCAGGTCTCAGACGTTTACCACTTTGGTGAAACCCACATGCATGGATATGGTGCTGACAAACCTAGAAACGTTATTGGGGCAAACCGGAATTTGATAAATCGAAGGTTTATTGCATGCACAAGGGACACATCTCTGCACATAAAATTGCAACGTCTTACACAACTGGGCCACTGGTTTCCCCTCTAGTATTTCAACATTCCCAAATTTGTCATGGTGCTCATGCCATCAACCATTGGTTTTCCTGAGCCAGACTTGATTTAAAGGCTGCCACGATACAGCTGGAATATCTTTTGACTTCGACGTAACACAACATTCACTCTCTCACTTTGGTACGAATAGAGTAAGTGAGTGAGTCTGGTTTTACGCCCCTTTTAGCAATATTCTAGCAGTATCAGAGCAGGGACCACAGAAATGGGCTTCACACCTTTTACCCATGTAGATAATTGAACCCGGGTCTTCAGCATGATGAGCGAATGCTTTAACCACTAGGCCACAACACAGTCTCTGTTACAATTAGAAATTGGACTGATTTGACCCCTAAGTGATGTGGCAACTCGCAACATACTGCACGCAATTTCAAGATAAATATTATATATATTATATTTATTATAGATATTCATTTTGTCACCAGGTGGCGATGATGTACAGCAGCTGTGTGAGGCCGGGGAGGAGGAATTCCTGGAGATTATGGCCTTGGTGGGAATGGCGTCCAAACCTCTCCATGTCCGACGCCTTCAGAAGGCACTACAGGAATGGGTAGCCAATCCAGGTAAGACTCGCACAAGATTAATTTAGAATTGACTTCAATAGTTTTTGTGATTATGCAGGGATAAACAGCAACAGCAATAGCAATATACATCCATGTGGAGGATTAACGCAAAATTGTGCATGCTGGATTTTATGTTTACCTCCATAAGCGCAGACAATATTGACAGAATTGGAATTGATAAATCACAAACCACACGATATCTGTTGCAATAGGTTGCACCTTTACCTCAAATAAATCAAGAGAAGGTAACTCTAGTTAGTAATGACCAACGTGACAGCATGTCGGTCAGTCAGTTTTGTCGATCAGTCAATCAGTCAGTAAGTCAGTTTTGTCCGTCAGTTTTGTCCGTCAGTCAGTCAGGTTTGTCGATCAGTCAGTCAGTCAGTTTTGTCGATCAGTCAGTCAGTCAGTTTTGTCGATCAGTCAGTCAGTCAGTCTGTTTTGTCCATCAGTTTTGTCCGTCAGTCAGTCAGTTTTGTTGATCAGTCAGTCAGTCAGTCAGTTTTGTCGATCAGTCAGTCAGTCAGTCAGTCAGTTTTGTCCGTCAGTTTAGTCCATCAGTCAGTCAGTCAGTTAGTCAGTCAGTTTTGTCGATCAGTCAGTCAGTCAGTCTGTTTTGTCCGTCAGTTTTGTCCGTCAGTCAGTCAGTTTTGTTGATCAGTCAGTCAGTCAGTCAGTCAGTTTTGTCGATCAGTCAGTCAGTCAGTCAGTCAGTTTTGTCCATCAGTCAGTCAGTCAGTTAGTCAGTCAGTTTTGTCGATCAGTCAGTCAGTCAGTCTGTTTTGTCCGTCAGTTTTGTCCGTCAGTCAGTCAGTTTTGTTGATCAGTCAGTCAGTCAGTCAGTTTTGTCGATCAGTCAGTCAGTCAGTCAGTCAGTTTTGTCCGTCAGTTTTGTCCATCAGTCAGTCAGTCAGTTAGTCAGTCAGTTTTGTCGATCAGTCAGTCAGTCAGTCAGTTTTGTCTGTCAGTTTTGTCTGTCAGTCAGTCAGTCAGTTTTGTCAATCAGTCAGTCAGTTTTGTCCGTCAGTTTTGTCCGTCAGTCAGTCAGTTTTGTCGATCAGTCAGTCAGTCCGTCAGTCAGTCAGTTTTGTCCGTCAGTCAGTCGGTCAGTCAGTTTTGTCGATCAGTCAGTCAGTCAGTCAGTTTTGTCGATCAGTCAGTCAGTCAGTCAGTCAGTCAGTATTGTCGATCAGTCAGTCAGTTTTGTCCGTCAGTCAGTCAGTTTTGTCGATCAGTCAGTCAGTCAGTTTTGTCCGTCCGTCAGTTTTGTCCGTCAGTCAGTCAGTCAGGTCGATCAGTCAGTCAGTCCGTCAGTCAGTCAGTTTTGTCCGTCAGTCAGTCAGCTTTGTCAATCAGTCATTCAGTCAGTCAGTCAGTTTTGTGTCATATGAAGCAGACTCCGTTATTCATGCTGGACAACTGAGATTTATCATAAAGTCCAATGTGTGCCCAGTTGATTGTTGTGGTCTGCTTGGTGGGGAAAGATGAAGGAAGTCTTTCTCATCACTTATGTTTTGAATAAAAATAATTGATAAATCCTACCTCCATCTACATTTGTTTTTAAAATCTGCCTGAGAAACATTTTTATATTTGTATATACACTCAAGTTAGATGGCTGCAGTATCGGATTGACTTGACAAGTACTTGAACTTAGGAGGCTTCTGTGTACATTCTCTGTTTTGTAGTTGCAGGATAAAGTGTTTGAATTCTACTTGAAATCCTTGGATAGCTTGCATTTAATTTATAGAAAAGGTCCATGTGTTTATTACTTGCCCATGAAGAGATCACCTGTTTAATAAACATACAGCTGTATTCCACATTGTGTTATACCAAAGCACGTGCTTATGTACTGCAGGAACAAGTTACACTAACAAACATTGAAAGCTCTCAACATCGCTTGGCTTATTCAGCGACATTGCGTGAGGAGATGATAGATCACTGAGAGGAGTTTATGCACACTCAATGACCCCAGCAACACAGTTGCTAGGCTGACGTCACATTGCATTGTTTCGCTGGTGGATCTTGTAACAAAATTCCACAATTCACTTCATAGAGTATTGTGATGTGATTGTCATCTTTGTGGCGCAGGTCCCGTTCCACAAGGTGATCGTATTGTAGCGCAACGACAGTCTAAGTTTCTGTTAAAGTATGTGAGTTACGATAACCTTAGCGCTACGATAACTTTGTTGAACGGACGCCTGGATTCTAAAGTTGGGCTGTTGTATGGTATTAAATTAATATGTGTCAACGTTTGACGTATTTGAAGTATTATTCTGTTAAACTCAACTGGACTACATTGTGGATCGTGTAAGTGTCTGCCTGTTCATTCTAAAAAATTCTAAAAAAGTTATAAATTGCAAGTAATAAATAAAATACTAAACTCACTCCCATGTAATACCAATTTTATGTAACTTGTTAACAGTTCTGGTATCTGACTCGCTTTAGCTCGTCAAATACCAGAACTATTCACTCGTTTCATAAAATTGGTTTTACACGGGAGCTCGTTTAGTATTCTATATTTATTACTTGCCCGTGAAGAGATCACCCGTTTAATAAACATACAGCTTTATTACACATTGTGTAATACCAAAACGCGTGCTTATGTACTCTCGGAACACGTTTCACGAACAAATATTGAAAGCTCTCAACATCCCTTGGCTTATTCAACGACATTGCGTGTAGAGTTGATAGATCACTGAGAGGAGCTTATGCACACTCGATGACCCCAGCAACCTTGTTGCTAGGCTGACGTCACATGGCATTGTTTCGCCGATGGATCTTGCAACAAAATTCCACAAATTACGTCATCGGGTATTGTGACGTTATTGAAAACTTTGAGGTGCAAGGCCCGTTCCACAAGGCGATCGTATTGTAGCCCAACGGCAGTCGTTGGTCTAAGTTAAAGTATGTGAGATGCGAAAGTCTTAGCCCTACGATAATGTTGTGAATTCTAAAGGTAGACCCGTTGTATGGTATGAAATTCATACATTTCAACTTTTGACGTGTTTGAAGTATTATTCTGTTAAACTCAATTGGACTATATCGTGGATCATGTAGGTGTCAGCCTATTCATACTCAACAGTATAATTCAAAAAACGTTATAAATTGCAAGTAATAAATAAAATACTAAACTCGCTCCCGTGTAAAACCAATTTTATGAAACTCGTGAATAGTTGTGGTATCTGACTCACTTTCGCTCGTCAGATACCACAACTATTCACTCGTTTCATAAAATTGGTATTACACGGGAGCTCGTTTAGTATTCTATATATATCAAATAGTATAACAGAAAATATGTAATACCAATTTTATCTAACTCGTTAACAGTTCTGGTATCTGACTTGCTTTAGCTCGTCAAATACCAGAACTATTCACTCGTTTCATAAAATTGGTTTTACACGGGAGCTCGTTTAGAATTCTATATATATATCAAATAGTATAACATAAAATATTCCCACAAGTTGTTGACTGTGGGTTATTCCCATGTGAGTTAACCCTCGCAGTGCTTGAAATTTATATGAAAGCAGGTTTGTCAAGTATTTTGTTAAACCAAGAATCCTTGAAAAGTGCTTGAATTTCCCAACATCTATATCAAAGTAATATGGAGACTATTTCCTCTCGCTGCTATCGTGTTCAAAGCATCATTAAACCCAACTCACTCACTAACTCTCTCTCATACAGGTGCATTCCAGGGACCAGGTACCACGCAGTCTTCGAGCCCCGCCCCCGGGAGTATTACAGCGGTGGTGCGAGACCAGAACCTCGGCTACATTCATTCCACACCCCCTACATCTGTGGTGAACGCCCCGACATGGAACCCCCAGCCTGCCCCCCGGAGTGTCAGCCCAGCTGCGCCTGCCCCCGATGCCCCCAGCCCTTCCTCTGGGTCGCCACAGAGCGACATGAAGGATATACCTGTCACAATGGTCAGTCACCAATACACTCACCTGTGTCTTGCTTCAGATTTAGATGGGGTACAAGCGGTCTAGTCATCTAAGGTGCCAAAATTTGCTGTGCGAAGTTTGTAATTGGAAATTTGGGGTTTGAATCTCGGTTCGCCCTGGTTATGTTTCTAGGTTGTCAGTACAATAACAGTATGGGTTGTTGTTCATGCTATCAACCACTGGTTTGCCTGGCTGAGATTTGATTACCTAGACCGCAGTGACACACCTGTTCACTTGCTGGCTATAGCAGAAAGACAAGTCACTCACTCGTTTTACTTACAATTCTCGTCAACAAGTATTTTGGTACTAGTTATGTTTCGTTAATAAATCAGGGCCTGTTAATTAGTTACTCCTATATTTATTTCAGAGCGGTCTCCAAGACGACCTTAGTTTAAACATGTGCGGTTATCCCCTGCAAACAAGTCAACATTCCTCGTCCCCCTTGCCTACACCCGTCCTCGTTGAGAGTCAAATTCAGTCCATAGCAGAGGCTGCTGCTCAACTCTCTAAGGAGTTACCTCCCTTTGATGCTAAAGAACTCAATATGAAGAAACAGATTAATCGTGAAATACAAGTGAGTTCTTGAGTAACTGGTGCATGATTATTGATTATGTTGGATAAAGTTGACCAGTATTTGCAATTGGCAATTCCTCGAAATTTAATGACAGAAAGACTTGCCATGTTTTTGAACAAATTTTCTTGAAGTCTGTTTAATGAGGTTTTAAAAAATGTGATTTATTGCCATTTGTCTTGGAAAAAATGAAACAGTGGATGTTAAACAGCACTGATGGGATGGTGTTTTCTCCAACTTCATTTGGGGATGTTGATAACACCAAGTTTATAATGTGCTTACTTTACCGTTTAGCATAATTAATTAAAGACATTCTGTGTAATTTTAATGTTTTCTCAATTCAAACTGGCAAAAAACATGGCATATATGGCTTCAGGAGTCTTTTCTTGCATCTTGTTCAAATTACACCAATGTTTATTTGTTCAGTGTCATTCTTTTAAAGCAAGATCTTCCGTCTGTTTCACATGTTTATTTCTGTCGATTTGGGCGGTCAAGGCCTCTCCATGTACACACTGCTGTTATTAAAATGTAATATTAATGACTGCAGATCTTTGAGTTGATATAGGTTTAGGGATTTACCTAAATCTCCTCAGAGGCTGGTATTTGACCGAATCTGCAGCAAATGTCATTAATAAGTCCCAAATTGCAATTATGAAATTATGAATTCATGATAATATATACATAATCAATAACTAATGTTATAGCTTTGTAGAGGTAACTTGTATCTCAAAAGTGACAAATAAATAAGTGGTTTTAATACTTAGTTTCCTATTTTTGAATTGAATAGAATCTCAATATGCAATGTTAAACTACCTCAGAATTAAGGAAGTAAGAACTTTTAAGAAATCTCAATTTTGAACAAAATAGCAATTGTTTTCCCCAATTTTCCCCTTAGGGATACTTAGTTTAGGTTAGAATCCTTGATGAATCCCTGGTTTGAGAGACTTCTTCATTACCTGTTGATATTTACAAGAAGAAATGATTGTCATGTCTTCAGATATTCAGGGGCGGTGGGGTAGCCTAGTGGTTAAAGTATTTGCTCGTCATGCTGAAGACCTGGGTTTGATTCTCCACATGGGGACAATGTGTGAAGCCCATTTCTGGTGTCCCCACTGTGATATTGCTGGAATATTGCTAAAAATGGCGTAAAACCATAATCACTTGCTCACTACAGATATTCAACTACCCATGTATTCGTGAAGGTTGGGGGGATTGGAAGGAGTCGGGAATTATTAGTTTACAGCACCATGGCATAAAAAAGACTCCCCTAAATTGCCTGAATGGTAAAAAAATAGTAGACATTGAATCATGTCTGTTCAGAGAGCAGTGGATGGGTACCCAGTAGGATGAGATGGTAATGTGACTGTTAACCTTCAAACACCTCACAGACAGCTTAGGTTGTATACTCCCCAGGGAGCTGAGAATGAAAATTTAGTGCACACTGATCCATTGACCGAGATGATAATACTGTAGCACTTTGAACATGCCCCTATTATTGTTATAGTTATAGTTATTATTATCAATTAAATCTGTATGTGATGGAGAGTTTGTTTTGAGAATGGGACTGATTAGTGAATGATGCATTTTGTTGCAGTCTGTGATGCAACTAACAGATGATGACCCGTCACGACTGGATGAGCTTAGGAAGTATGCTGCCATATATGGTCGCTTCGACTCCAAGAGGAAAAACGATAGGCCAATGTCATTACACGAGGTGAGGTTCCACCACTGTTGGCCTAGTCTAGGGGAGACAACTCTGGGATATAATTGCATGATGAACAAAGGGTCTGTTGCAAGTTGGCAGCACCCCTGTCCATACCAAGTCACCACATAGTACACTGTGTGAGTACTCCCAGAAAAATAGGTCCCCAGACCTTGGCACGAGTGTATGTAAATTGCAAGTAGCTGGAATATTGATGACTGTGATATATAGATAGCTACGCGAAGAACAATGAAGAACGAAATGTGGTTTATTTCATGATAACATATTGTTCTATCATGCCATGATTTCTGGAGATTTGAACATGCGTTTGCAACTTGATGACGTTATTTTTGAGAGGGGAGTGTCTTGTGAGTTGTTCCCCATAGATGTATCTAGGCAACGCAGATAAACACGATGGCCGAACGATCACATCCAAAAGTGGGAGAGGTATGACAATTGTCATTAGGAGAAAAGGTACAGATAATCGACGTGAGGATTGTGGGAATATGCGAGAAATACCCACCAGTGCATAAAATGGACTGGTCCGACATTGCCCGGATTGTCCGACATTGCTCGGATTCTATTGAGGGAGTCATCATTATTAAAATATGGGACAATATTTTTTAAGCTTGTACATTTCATCTTCATCCTTAAAGAGGCTGTACATAATGTGGTCGATGTTTTTTGTACAATACTCCCTGTACTATTGATATTCCCTGCAGTGGTTTTTTTTAACAATAAACAACTCCCACATGTCGTTTATTTTTTAAATATCACATTCATTAACTCATTCACTGAACCAAATTTTCATACAGTGACACAATGCATTGTCTTTTTAGATATCTGTTAACGAGGCGGCTGCCCAGTTATGCCGCCATATACCTACATTACTGACGCGTAGAGAAGACTTATTTCCGCTGGCTAGACAAGTTGTTCGCGACAGTGGTTACCAATATTCAAAAGGGCATTCCAGGTAATTAGCATGAGATGTCACTTTGTTTTGGAAGTATTCTCAATTATCTCCCCTGAATAATCTCAACTCTATGTAAGAACAATTTCTATTGGTCGTTCGTTTTAAAGACAATCCATTTCATGTCACGATGTAAGAAATGTAAATGCTGGCATTATATGCATGTTGATTTATATATATTTGGTTTTATTTTCTCCTGTATCTATTTTGATGATTAAATTAAGTACATATAAATTTCTCAGGATATTGAGAACAGTTACCGAAAATGAGTCATTCAAGTGTTTGACTTGATTCTGCATTGATCCAGAATGTTCTTCATATGTTATTCAGGGGAGATAATTATGTAGTAAAAAAATATCTAGTCAATGTAGTTATAGAAATGTGTGCTGTTATAGTATAAGTGTAGATACTTATATTTCCCATGTTAAGTGATTTTTTTTATCATTCCAGCTACCTACATAACATAATTGTTTTTGGTGCAATTCCACAAGACTGGCACACCCAACAATTTCTAAAATATGTTGTTTGTGGTTTTGATACATTGCCATAGTTGAATATGAGTGCTGGTAAATAATTTCTGAACTTGAAATAGATGTTGTCTATTTTAACTTATGCCGTAGTACTCAGTTCAAACTTTTGACCGACTTTAGAGATTTGTGTAAAAATGTTTTAGACAGAAATTGGATGCATTATGCTTTCATTGCTTGGATCAAAGTTAATCAATCAGGTTCAAATCCAATGCTTCTTGTCTTTGCACTATCTATATGTACAGGCACTTCCAAACATGTTTTAAAGGGACATTTTTTACACATGATCAGTGGATCATTCCACTCATTCAACATGTGTACCACTTCAGCAAATGTTAGAACATTGCAAGCGTTACATTTGTCTGCTATGTGTATTTGATGTCTGAAATCTCCCTTTTAAAAAAACCCAAGAATTTACAGTCGTTGGCTCTTGTTATAAAAATGTTCACATTCATGTCAAATGTTGGGTGGAATTTTGGGGGATATATTGTGTTTTGTAAATTGTGTAACTCTGTTTTCCTTAGCCGAGACTGAGCTCTTATTTCCGAACTTTTCAGTGTTGTGAAGAGTGAAATATTGGACCCTAGAGAGCTAAAGTAAGTGGAATAACTCCTACGCTATTTAAATACTGGGATGGATGGGCCAGTCAAATTCTTCTCTCTCACATATGCATGAGACGTTCTCCTTGAGCAGAGACTCCTCCTGGAGTGGCTTTGTTTCATGTGTTTTTACTGTTTACGTGGTAAACTTTCGCTTAAACATTTGAGTTTGGTACCTGCTTATATCTTCTTCATGTCTCAATTTAAATCTGTAATACTGTGATGATTTTGCCTTTATTTGATATCGGTTGCAATATGAGGTATTGTTTTGTTAATGTTGGGGTCATTTGAGGTCATTGTATATTGAATTTCAGAATGAGTCATATTAAATGTCATCTTTCATCTGAATTCCATTATCATAAAACCTCTGGGGCCTTGATTGACATACATATGTCATGAATGTTTTCACTAACCACCTCTGTTACTAGCACCCAACTAACTTTACAACAGCACGCTATATCATCGTAGAAAGAATAGATATTTCCAAGCCATTCAGTTCTTATAAACTGAACAGTTTGGGAGCCAATCTCAGAATGACATAAAGGCATGTCTTAGTCGAAATGCATTCAAAATTTGAGATGCACATATTCAAGTATTTTGATATGTTATTATTTAGTGAAAATTGCTCAATAACTGAAAAATCTCCGAATGTCGGTCAAAGGTTTTTAGCTTGCATCATGTTTCATTGGTTTTTGTTTTCTCACACACTACATAGCAGCTCTGAGTGGAATAGACTGTGCATTGATACAGAGTTGTCTCCCTTCCGAATAAGTTATCTCCCTTATAGATTTTCAAAGTTTGAATTTCAACAAAACCCAAAATGTCAGAAACTAACTGTGTTCAAAGAATGAATAACATCCTCAATTGTAGCAGTGTTCTATGTCAATGTAATGTGGAGTTAATCCATTGGATACTTTTCTGTGTATGCACTCTTTTTTCCATTCTATTTTTCGTTCAATTTTCTTTCATTCTTCAATTCACAATCCAAAAGGAGAATGAAAATTTTGCAAGATCTTTTATTTTTTGGATTGCATGTAACGACATAAAGTATGAATTTTTCATTTTTAAAGATATCGTTTTGGTATGGGACGACAAACTTTAGTAGAGGTCAAATAACACCCTGTTGTCAGTTTCAAGATTGCTTTCATAATGGCTTTTATGACATTAATTTCATTGAAATATACATGATATGTAGGATATGGTGAAATGGATTTATTGATTTATTGATGCATTGAATGAAATGCAATGAAGTGTTTATTCTAGTCTATAGATCCTATGTGTATTCTTTCTGGTGAATTGGTTTTAAAAGCTTTTGAAGTAAACATGTAAATGGGTGATTTCTTGCTGTTCATGCTGTCACATTATTTCAGTGGACATTTTGTCTCAGAAGTTATCCATCAGTATCAATCACTACCACCAGGAAATGACTTTATGATTAGGAGTGTAATGAGCTAAATCACTTCACTTCATTTCAGGTTATTTGTATTAACTTAATTTGCATTTTGGAGAAGACTAATGGACCATTCATATTTCCACTCGCTTCAGACTAGTTGGATTTTGTCGAACTCTGAATATCTGACCAAATGTAGTATGCATGTTATCTATTCTCGTTCATCCAAAAATGTAGGACAAAAGTATCATTTTCATATTTGGTCCACTGATAATAATTTCATTGGATGAAAAAACGTTTTCTGATAAAAGCTAGTGAAAGGAAACTTGACAGTCACAGTCGTGCTTATTTGACCACTGCCAATATGGCCTGTTGGATTAGCCTATTGGAGGCCAACCGGTGACTAGACGGTTGATGCATGTCTAAATACTCCTTCTTAGGGCTGCCGATGTAGTTGTGTCAAAGAAGCCACGAGTTGATCCTGTTTTCCAGAGAATGCACGACGCCAACCCCAAAACAGTGAAAGCAGAGCTTGACAAGATTCATAGAGAGGTGAGAGTTATCTCCCTTTAACAGCAGCTGCAGTTTTTCTCACTGACCTTGTGAAGGTTGTGGCATTTGTAGGTTTAATGGAATAGGTCACTTGTATCTAGAAATAAGTTTTACCGAATTGATACAATCTAGTAAGTGTCTGTAACCAATTTGTGACTATTTGTGAGATTTTATTTATCATCCAACATTTTGTCAGTTTGTAGACAGTAATAAGCAGTGTCTTACAATACTGCTAACAGCTTCAGTAGCAGAGCTATTAGCGATGTAATGTGATTGTGATGTCATAGTAACCAATGACGTCACAATGGTCTGTAAACCATTGCAATGCAATTTCATTGCAGCGATATCTACAATGTAGATATTGCTTGATCTCACCCAAGCGATGTCTCCTGTGGGAGCCAGTTTTGGATGATAATGATTTGTATCTACCGTCCAAGAAGACTTGTCTGTAGTTGTTGACAGTCCTTGAGTTGTTTGTCAACTGACCGTGCCCCTGTGTATTTTGCAGGAGAGAATGAATTGCATCAACCAGGACATGAAACGAATTAAGGATCGACAGGAGGCCATAAAAACTGAGATTGTGACAGCCCGTGACACACAAAACAGCCCTCTAGTGCAGAAGCTTCAGCAGGAACTAGAGACATTGACAGCACAGCAACTCGCACTTCTTACAGAACAAGGCGAGATTATTCGTAAACAGAAGCGTTCAGAAAGGTAGGTGCAACTGATGTTATGTTTTGTATTACTTCTCTGATGCGTCTTTATTGTTATGCAATACTAAAAAAATCTTGTTATCTGATTGGCTAGACACCGTCTTGCAAATACCCAGTTGACTATTGATTTTGAAATAGGAGGGGTTTCAATAATGCCATTTGTAACTTCAGTGGGGGCATGGGGGTGTCCCACCCTAAAGCCTACTCAAAAAATCTCAAACACTTTATGTAAACCAATATTAATAATTTTGCTTTAACAACCGAATCAACATGTTATCATGGTAGGAAATGTGCATACAAAGTGTCATCAGTTGTAAGACCCCCCACAGGACCCCCCCTCTTGACCCCCCACAGGACTGGGCCTATCCGTAAGGACGTCATCATGTCATAATGTTTGATGTCATGTCACTCACTTGTCATGTCACAATGGGCCTTGTTTGCACTTGAAGTTACCAAACTGAAAGTCTGATGGCAATCTCATTGCCTCCATTGCCTCCTTTTCCACAATGCAAATTTCATAGCTTCATTCATGTCATATGGCTGCCTTTCTGCTCCAGTATATTGCCCAAAGTGGTAGAATGTCCTTGTCATGGATGTATTTGCCATCAAAACATGGGTGGTTGCAATGCATTGAAAGTTGATGTCTCTCAGTGCTCATGTTGTCGACCACCGGTTTGCCTGACCCAGACTCAAATGTTTACAGGCCAATACAATACTGCTGTAATATTCCTGAAGTTCTCTTTCACTCCACACTCATCTGGAAAAAGTTGTATTTTCTTATCTTATGACTCACTCACTGCCTGAAGAGAATTTCATTTCAATTTAGAATGAATCGTGTTGATCAAAGCATTGTTGATATGTTACCCTTTATTCATTTTAGAGTTGTATGCTTCTTGTTATTGCTCACTCTGCTAATGTTTCAAAACAGTTTAGCGCAGGATGTTTTTGAGATATTGTCTGAGAGTATAACATTCCTGGTGCTACTGCATTTATTTTCACGAAAGAATAACTGACAACTACAATGGATAGCGTCTGAGAAACTCGAAACAAAATATTTGATTTAGGATCCATGGACCTTTGATATTTCTATGGACAAGATCATAAATATCATGTGCTATCAGCATAATACATTTCTTTCAAAGTTAAGAGGAGGTATTTAGAAACATGTAATATCAATTATTTGTTCATCTCGTTTTCAAACATATAAAAACATTAATGAAAAATGTATTTCCAGAAAATATCTAGTAATCAATTTTTAGAGAGCCTTTTCTTTCAAAGTAACAGAACAATAATCTGTTTAAAAAAAGTATCAGTTAGCTATATAATCACCATTCATTATTATGATCTGTTTTGGGGAGCTTCATAGTTAATACCAATGGTAAGATGAGGAATTTCATCAGTGTACAAATATCGTTTTAATAAAGTTGTTCTTTTTGCCAATTTAAAATAGTATGTCTGTCTCAAATTTGTATTGAAGCCTGAGACAGTGATCTCAATACTTGATCTAATTAGTTGCATAATTACTTTCATCACTGACTTGAGTGCTTCCATGATTTTTATTGCTAATTATATCACTGATAATGAGAATTGTTTTTTGTTTTGTCCTCACAGGTATCTAATGACAAAACCGGAAAGGCCATGTGGACAGTATGGCGACGATGATTTCACAGGTGAGTTTCTACATGAATAGAAACAATGATTACAAGTTTGCAAGTAGACATATTAAACATTTAATCATAGCTTGAGTACACTGGGAACTTATTAATTCAGAAACCTCCGCAAAATTGATATTCGCGCTGCATCTGTTGGACATGTATACTTTTACATAGCTCCATTAGAGCCATATGGCAGATTGGTTGTTTTGATGTCTTGTGTACTTTTATCAACTCGTGTTGATATATTGAATATCAAAAGACACAAGGGGGAGATTTTATTTATCATCCAACATCATTCCTCCAACTTTTTCAGTTTGTAGACAGTAATAAGCAGTGTCTTTAGTGTAAAAAGTACTGCTAACAGCTTCAGTAGCAGAGCCATTAGTGATGTCATTTGATTGTGATGTCATGGTAACCAATGGTCTGCAAAGCATTGTGATATACATTCATTGCAGCGATATCTACAATGTAGATATCGCTTAATCTCACCCAAGCGTTATCTCCTGTGGGAGCCAATTTTGGATGATAAATAATTATCATTGTTAATGTAATCGAGTTAATAATCACTGGTCCATTCCAGTCCATGTCTTTGTAGAGACCTTTTAGATTTCACAGTCATATTCTCATTATGAGGTCTTGTACTCTTGGATCGTTACTTGTGCTGTCAGCTATGGCAATCTCAGTCCAGAGTAACAATGTCTCAGGGTAACTTGTTGGCCTCAGTGAATCAAGAAGCTGCTATCTAAACACGCAGAGATAGAAACACAAACACACGCTTACTCACACTCACACTCACGCTCTCACACACAGCTATATAATCTAAAAGGCGGCATTAAACCCAATTTCACCTCACCACCTCCAGTTGTAAATGCCCATGAAATACTTCATTGCAATATACATTTTTCACTCCAGATTCTTCCAACTTTCCAAGTGGCAACTCTTCCCCGATGAACTCGCAAGACGGAACTGAACTGGACTTTACAAAAGTAGCAGTTTATGCAGCAAACTTCCGTTCTTCAACTGCTCAAAAGTTCATGCAGGAGACACTTTTTGACGAGGGTTTGAGAATTGCTCAACAGTACGGCATGGCTGATTTTGCAGAGGAGTTAAAAGAACTGAAATCTAGAAAAATTCCCAAAGAAAATGGTCGAGATTCAGATTCAGAAATGTCGGACACTCCGAGTGATTGTGGGCAGAATGGACAGAAGAGAAAACGTTCTGACTCTGAAACCCTTCTCGAAGAGAGGAATGGGAAAAGGGAAAAAGATGATTTGTCATCTGATGTGAAACTTCAGCATAACAATAACAAGGCCGAAATTGCTCAAGCTCCAGAGTCTGCTGGCTTCGAAACATCCCAGCAGAATTCCCTGCAGTCCACTTCAAGCGAGGAAAGTGATGACGATGATGACACCGATTCCATAAAAGGCAGGAAGGGCTATGTAACTCGACCCAATCATAATGGAATCGGGATTGAAATTTCTGAACCTCTGCAAAATGGTGACTGACATACGCTTCTTGCAAGACAATACAATGGCTGTGGCGTTAAAATTATCTGTGAATGTGTGTGTCGTATGTGAAGCTGGAAAAGCAATTCTGTGAAATCTACATTGAAATGTCACGTTGTTTTCGCCAAGAATGTGACCATTACATCGTCAGACCAGCATAGGTACTTTTTTTCAACCGAGTCCAAGACTTGTTTCTCATTGGTCAGATTCTTGGCGAGACTGTTGTACTCAGTTTGTGATTGGTCCGTCGAACAGACCGCTGTTTAACTTTATTTTGTCACCTATGACTCCTGGGAGACACTAAATCTAAGGGGAGACAACTCTGACAGGAAGGCGTAGATATTAGCCAATCACCCGATGCCGTTTCTGTACAAGTTGCCTCCCCTGTGATGGAGTCAAGATCATTGTCATCAGTGGCTTTGTTATTATTCAGACATTTTCGCTTCCAAAGTTACAATTTAAAAAGTTGTACAAGCCTTCACCATCTGTTGCCAAACTCATCAGTTACCATGGAAACAGTACCTTTTTCTTTGCCAATATGATAATATTTTTATTATCATTGTGATAAATTATTGGGTATGGTTATTTGTAATGTGCAAACAGTTTTTAGGGAACATGATACCAACTTCCTCTACCATGCAATATGTTTTCAGGTAAATACTATTCTACACAGCTGATTCAGATCAGTGTGACAGCCGTATAGTTATCAAATCTTCACAGAATATCTCATAATTTAATCACTGAAAAGAGGGGAAGAAATTTCACATAAGAGATGCCACAAGAGATACAATAGTTGCAAGTGAGAAATAAAACGTCAGAATGAACAATACCAAAAAGTGAGACAGGTTCTGAGGTTCTGTTTCCATGGTTACATTATGGTTGCTGCTGCTTCGTGGCTTCCTCACGTCTCTCCTCTGCAATGGAGAACTTGTCCTGCTCTGGACATACATGCGTATGTGCGTCGTGCAATGTGTTGTCATGTATTTATTTGGAGAAACAGACAGTTTTTTGTCTTGCCGTTGTACATAGTTATTTATTTTCATTAAGAAGATCATGTAGGTAGCTTGGCCTAGCAAGCAGAATCGCGAGACAAAAATCATGGTTCCAATTATGGCCTTCCTTCCTGTTGTTCTGTTCACTCCAATGTTGTTGCAACAACCGTTTCCAAGAGTTTTTCTTGTGGCAGAGTTGTCATGTTCTAGTTCATTTTCCATATTTATCATACTTTCATGCACAATCTATCACATGTTTAACTGTGGGGTAGACAGTGGAATAATGTTGGGCTATTTTTTTCTGCGACACAAAGTCAACCAGCGCTGAAATTATGCATGTGTAGAAAACACTATTAATTAGTTTTTCTGAAAATAGTACATCTTTTATCAAAATTTGAATTTTTGAAAGTACTTATATCACTTATTATGTATAATATTGATAAAGGTTGGGAATGACCATAAGATGTCAGTAAAATTACAAAATTGTAAGTATGGTTGCTTTAGAAATTGACCCAACACTTTCAGAACATGCAATGCTCTAGAATTTTTTAAGATTTTCGGGTATTAAAAGTGCTCTTGTTTTTCAACCCAAGTGTGACATTGTGGCACAAACATGCAATTTGTACTGAAATTAAGTGACATTTACACTGAGTGAATTAAAATTTACAAGTCCAGAATAGCCATATATCACTCATGTTCATATCAACTAGGCCATTGCTGACAGCTATTTGAAATTGGAGGATATTCAGTTTTTAATGTCGTTATTTTCATGAATATTACGTGTAGAGAAATGTAAAAGTGAACCTTTATTTCCTGTTGACGCTGGCTCAAGTTAAATATTCTTCTATGTCTATGACAAACTAACATGGAGGTGCTCCTGTAGATGGGATGACGGCACGTTAGGTAACTCCCCCCATCTTCCGGTTACAGCCAAACACTAGTTTCTCACTGCTCTCAGAGACGTACGCCGCCAAGTGTTCAGAGGTTTTACTGAAACAGGGAGACCATGACCAGACTGCATGACCTTTCTCTTGATTTATTTTAATGAGATGTGAAAATATGGTTCTGAATATTCAACAACAAAAATTGGTGTCCTCAACACTGACTTTTGTCTTCTGGCAAACAATGGAGAATTTTTCCAGAATAATCGAGTAAGAAAACTAAATTGGTCTGGCTGAAAAAGATTTGATTTTTGATCAGTACCACAACATTGATCATTTGAAGCTAAAGTTCAGAAAAACGAACAGAAGTGTCCAAACTTGAAACATTTAGAATAAGTCGGCTTTATTTATGTATTACTGAATGAAAACTTGATGCTTTGTGCTTATCTTATGATTTTCATGTCTCTGTCTTCGCTGATGGGTGAGAAGCGTTTCTGGTGTGATTCGAAGCACCAATGATACTCAATACTATAGTCTCCAGACAGATGCAGTGATTACACTCCGCCATAATCTATTGATGAATACTACTCCAACAGTGACCTACGACTGGAAGCAGGTTGCCAGTACCATCATCAATACCAACAAGCAAAAATAGAGACTCTGTGTCAGCTTTACTTCCAATTTCTGTAGAAAGAGATCAAATATGCATTTGTGGCATATGGGACAATTTCATTTCATAATAAAAGCTAGAAACTTTCGTGCCAAAACACTCAAATATGATGAAATATCGGCACTAGGGATAAGCCACTGCTTTCAATGACCCTAAGGTAGGTGGGGAAGGCGAGTGGTTAATGCAGTTGCTTGTCATGTCGAAGTCCCAGGTTTCATGCCCCACATGGGAACAATGTGTGAAGCCCATTTCTTGTGATTTTTCTGGATTATTTTAAAGCAGCACAAGCCCACCACACATTCAATGGTGCATCAGAATATCCTGGAACCAATTGTAATTAAAGTGTTTCAAAAAAAGGTTGGCTTAATCCCCAAGTTAATGATTCCGACAGCAAGCAGTAATAACTAGACATGGCTACCAGACTTCATTGCTCCTCTTTATTCGACTTTAGTTAGTGATATTGTGATAATCTTGAGCTATTCGGGCGGGAAATGTTTATATTCCTAACATATAGAAATAGCAATGGAAGTGAAGTTGAAGACCACTAAAATCACAGTCAGATATCATATTGAAGGTTCAATTGAGATCTTTATGTTGTTCTATTCGACTGTAACATACTGCTTCAGACAAAACAGTCTCTATTTTGCTTTTTGATATTGATGGTTGACTTTTACTCCAATGATCAGGTGTGGAAGTTTCGTCTATGAATTCGCTGTTTTTAAGACAGCCATGTGACCCCAGATCGTCATGTTATATATATATACACTGTGAAATAGTTGAAGCAACAAAAAACATTACATTCCACAGAGTGTTTGACTGTTGTTGATAGTTGTATATCCCCGAATAAATTCTACAAGGTAAGATGAAATCTTCAGGATATCAGTTTTGAACTGAGTAATGGTAGAAAATGGTTTGATTACGTTACAAATTACCCTCCTTTAATTGAACATAAATTTAAATTTATGATTAGTGGGTGTGTCTGAAATTGTGTGATATGAGTGTTCTAATATTTCATATTTAATCACATTCATGTGGACAACAACATTGAGCCAATTAAATCACAGCAAACATTCTCTATTGCCCAATCAAAATATAAGGATGTTATGTTTAGATCAGTAAAAATTGTGCTGTGTGATACATATTTCATTGACATTCATATTCACAAAAGGCATCTCTATCCCCTATCAATATTCAAGTGCTATATATTTTTATTGAGTCCAAAATAAATTAAGAACACTGTTTTAGACCATAATGAATTGTGAGATTTTCATCACAAGCCATCTCAATTTGTAGAAGAGAAGCCCCACTTGAATTTATGCTACTCAAAAATGTAAAGGACATATTTGAAATATTTGAAATTAAAATCTGACAAATACTTTAGTGCGATTGGGAAAATAGGAAGTTATTTTTTCCATTTTTAGTATTTGTTCTAAATTCATTCTATCCATATATACTACTCAAAAGAAGTTAAGGATCACCTGATTCTTTCATATTACTATAGTTAATCTCTCATAGCATGACAGATTAACTTTACCATTATGAAAGAATTGGGTGATCCTTAACTTCTTTTGAGTAGTATATATATCCACAATGGATAGTTTCTACGACTCGCCCACTAATCAAACTCTAATCTGAAATTATTGAATAGATCTTGCTTTGTGCAGGGACTTTTAAGACACATTTTGTTAAATTTAATTTCCAGATTGTTGAATGATGTAGTTACTGACAGCACCGACATTACCTCTTATGCATTTAGTTAAACTAACATTTGAAGTGTATGCACTTTTTGGAATGAGAATCAAGTAATTTATCCAACGGCCATTTCATTTGCCTTAAATAGAGTCCTATTATATGTACATAACATGTGGCAATTGATATTCTTGACTTTTGTTACTCTCAGTATGGAAGGATGAGAACCTGTTCTTGTGGGAAATATTCTGTTTTTTTTAATGTTTTTGTTAAGTCTTGTTCAAATCTCATGTACTTGATTCTGACAATAAAGTACAGTTACGATGATCATTGTGTTATGTTTATCTTCGCTTGAGGTGAAGTGGGCTTCCAACATTATTGCATTTATATAGTGACATGCGTGCGTCCAGACTAATGCTATGCTAGCCCACTAAGATACCATGCCGCAGTTTAACATGAATACCCACCCCGCTCAGACACAAACTCCGAGCCGACCAGTCTTTCTTTTATCCCCTTGATGCCAAGCGCCAGGCAGGGTAACAAGAAGTACCATCGACCTCCCGCTCTCTGGGCAGACGTACGCTCTGTCCACTCTTCACGTCGACATCAGGTGGGGTTTGTACAGTATGGAGTAACAATATTGTGGTGTAGAGACTAATATGGGGTTCAGGTCCCTAGCATCAGTTCGTTGTTTAATTGTATGTATCATACACACTCACCATGAAAGTCTTCAGCAGTCTCCCGGCCCTACAGGGGCGGTCGGGTAGCCTAGTGGTTAAAGCGTTCGCTCGTCACGCCAAAGACCCGGGTTCGATTCCCGACATGGGTACAATGTGTGGAGCCCATTTCTGGTGTCCCCCGCCGTGATATTACTGGAATATTGCTAAAAGCGGCGTAAAATCAAACTCACTCACTCACTCCCCGCCCTACAACCTGTGTAAGGTAAACTTGTTCAGTTGTCTGGCTGTACGTGAAGTAACTCCAGTTTTTACAGGTTGAGCACAAGGTGTGTACCATGCTGTTTTGTCATTTCCTCCACAACTTAAAGCTAGCGATGTCTTGGGAGCTTGGGTTCCGGTATGTGTGTTGGACATTGGTGTTTCAACAGTGACTGATCAAATTGTACCACACGTAACACATATCCAGTATTAGCCGTCAATTGTTCAAAGTGCTACACATATGGTTCTTATTATTTTACATTTATGTAGTAAAAGCTGCAACTAAAATAACTTGAAGTTGGAATATTCTATTTCTGATAAAATAATAGTTTCATCCCATCATTGGATCAAAATTCTTTGAAGTTGTTATTATTGTGTAAATTTTAACCGAATCACCGGTAATTTGTAGAAAATGTGCATACAGCTGATCTCTATTTCCAGCTTAGTTTACAAGAAAATACACACGGTCTTCTTTTTCTGCATATAAAACGATGCCAAGCAGAACAGAAAATACAATTTCAATGATAAATCATTATGCTTCGTGATAATTTATCTGAATTTCACATTTTTATTGATCAAGTTTATCACCTGTTCGTCTACCTGAATTCTCTGAGGGATACTATGTAGTTTTATATTGTACTTCATATGATGTTGACCGATAGCTTCACCCTTTCATGTCGTACATGCATTAATCAACAACAAAACACATGTCAGTTTGGCTGCAGCTCTTTTATTGCATACCTTTGTTATGATATACGGCTTCTCATACTTCGATCCTCTGATGTGTTGCTTTGCATAGTGCAGCGAGAATAGCGCTGAACACAAATCGAACCAGTCAAAATTATAGTCCATAATAAGCAAATTTTGAATACAAAAAGAAAAAGCCTGTCCATATTTCAATCTTGGGTGTGTTGTTTCCCTGTAAGGATTAAGACTTTTTTTATCACAGATAATCAACAGAGAGTCTTGATATTGCTGACTGCAGTTTTAAACATTCATTCACTTGGCCCTACTGGAGATGTCACCACATTCCCTTCACAGAGTTGCATCCCTTAGCTTGTACAGGATATGATGGTCATCGGTTTTAAGCCCTTATTATGGCCTTGGCTTCACCAAAGCGGTAAACATCTTTGACCTTTGTCACACCATGCCCTGATATAACTGAAATACTTTTCAAAGTGGCATTAACCAACCACTCTCATTTACAAAAGAACAAAGCACATCCACTTTTTTTCGATAATTTTATTTAATAGATACGGGTCAATAGGGCTGTCACATCATCACATATCACAAAGCTGACCAAGCCATATGGTTACCATGGTTGCAGTAGCACAGCAGTGCTACTCCTAGACAGTTCAGCTCTAACCTAAGGTGTACGTCTCTCACCATCAACAATCTAGGTGCTGACCAATTCCGTGCTGAGACGAGCAGTTTATACACATAATTTACAATCCTTCAGTTCAAAACTTAATTACATATGAGAGTATCCCATAACAATATTCAAAGTGTTCATTCATAAATCTTGCATCGAAACAAGCGTTATCTGTGATCCTACAAGTGCACAACATACCTTGGTGCATTATATGCAAATACAGAGGATGTCGGAGTATGTAGAGATATCGATAGTCATGCTAATATACCAGCTTGTTTTTGAGGGAAGAAAACACAAGCTTTCTTGGCTAAAAAGGCATAAAAATAAACCAGGAGCCAGATAAAATTGGTTTGACACATTATTGAATGGATGGAGGCTAACAAGGGAGGTAACTTTTTGCACCTCCACTGAAACCAAGTTTCCTCTGCATGTTTTGTAGATAGCACATGAGAAGTCCTTTCACTGTCATCCATGTAGCTCGTAATGTTTGTCCAACATGACGGTCAATTTTGAAAATGACTTATTGTATGCTTTACAGGAATCAGTTATATACAATTTGATTCAAATCGAGAAGTCTAAATTTGACATATCCATCCGACTAACCGCCCCCAACCCCCACCCACCAGACGGTGTTGGGTTATATAATACATGTGAACGTTCCAACATGGCTTCCCTCCAGGTGACCTGGGTGTGACAGAGGCAAGTGACCGGGCGCATTCAGTTAATGATTCAGTTATTGCTATTGCAGCAATGTTCCTGGTCTGCCCACAATTAGAAAATATGGGGTTCTTGTGAGACCAACTCAAGAATTAGTTGTACGACCAACATTTTTTATTACACTCCTACATAAAAATGTACATTCTTGCTAATTTTGTTTTCTTAGAAAAAGTCATTGACTTGCTTATCTTTCATAGTGAATCCTAAACAATTATGTATGAATAGACTAGTTTGTCGAGATCAGTACACTTACAATATAATAAAACCCATCCCAAAATGTTGTTTTACAAGTTGTTTTTTTTTGTTTTTTAAGTGTTGAATATACAATATGCATGAGCCATGCCATTTATCATCTCTGAGTTTACAGCTGTTAATGGCTCCATACAAAGTACACAGATAATGATTGTTTGACAGGAATGATATGGATACATCACAATGCATTCAATAATTATGCACATCTGAATAAAACACACTTATAGCTACAGAGATATTTCTCACAGACCAACAAATGTGGAGTAGTTAAAATTAATGAATTAATTAACTTTTTCACTTTTATGATAAGATCTGTAAACCTTGGAATGAAAAATAACTGTTGCCTAGTAACAGTCTGACAATGTTGATATGCAAAACACATAAAAGAATAATAACTGAAAATAATGGCAACAAATTGTAATATGTAAGATTCTTTTTACAGCATGCAGCATATATCAACAAAACGAACAAACAAAATAATTATGACAACACATTACACTGTAACAAGGGAGAGCACTCTGCCTGCCTTCCAATCTCAAGCAAGCGAAAACAATCCAAATGAAAACGTGTGTGTGTGTGTGAATCTATGTACATATCTGGATGAATTTTTTTTTTTAAATGTAAAATAAGCATGATAAAAAATATTGTAGACTTTTGTTTACTGAAACTACACGTTTTCAAACTCCAAAGCATATGAATTCTGGATAATCCAGAGAATGTTCCTATTCATTGAGTAAACATTCTCATAACAACTGCTTGTGAAATTGGCATAACGAAACAAACATTTATTTTACAAGTCTGTATGAAACATAGTCTCCATACAAAACAGTTTTATCACATAACCAAACTTCAGCTTTAAGCCAAGTTTTGACATTGTGAACCAGGCGTCCCCTTCTATCAAGCTGAAGACCTACCACATATTTACATTGATATGCAAGCTACATCATTAGATGACATAGCCAGTACCTATGTACACATCTACCTGGCGAAAACATTAACCAGCTGGACAGCGATTGCACAAAACACAAATGACAAACGTGTTTGTAAAATGATTATGCCACATCAGAAGCCATCAATGATGATATTTTAGAACAATATGTAATATTGGCTTTGTTTCATATGAATACTGTCTTTTGAAGTCCTGGGAGCTTGAGATGGAATTTTCAATCAAGATATTTTTTACACTAAAATGAGCTCAACAACTGTTGTTTCTAGATAGAAATAGAAAATTCTTTTTCACAAATCGGAAGACATTTACTACTGAAATATTGTGACTATGGCATAACACAAATTCACTTCATCATTGAATATTATACAATGTGCATTGAACCAGAGACCATATAAATCGGTATATGTTTTCTGATTCAACAGACAGTGCTAAAAACTAACACGTCGCCCGACTCATTACAAGATCAGATTCCTATGTACAACGGAGACCAAACTAGCTTGTGTCTCTGTTCTGTCCAAATGCAGGTAGGAAGATATATGTCCACTTGAATTAAATGTTAGTATCAGCTGGAGAACAAGAGGCATGATCCGATAGGAAACGAGATCAGTTCCCTGGATACTGACGTGTGATTGGGTAAAGTGTTGAATCAAAGCTGTAGGTGGAAAGCAGCGTTAGGGGAGATTACTCTGTGACAAGCTGTTGCATTCTTGGTACCACCTGGATTGTTTACCACAGTCACCTGTAAAGGATGGACAATATTTCAATGTAGATCTAGAAAAACTGGAATATCACAAAACTTAACTTTTCTCAATTCTAGAGACATCCATATTGTGTATTCTGCTGGTGTCTGTTACACCTGGGTGCACTGTCCCCCTCAACCGCTGCTCAAAACCAAAGTACTCAGAGGTATCAAATCACAATAACACACCTTAACATAGATGCAGGATATATAGGAGTGAGTGAGTGAGTTGGGTTTAATGCCGCTTTTAACATTATTCCAGTTATATCACGGCGTGTCAGCTTAATGTGGGAGGAAAGCCCGAAGTGATGCAGGTCTAAGACGTTTACCACTTCGGTGAAACCCAGCGGGCACAGGTATGGTGCTGACAAACCTAGAAACATAATTGGGGCGAACCGGGATTCGAACCCACAATCATAGGTTTCTGGCGTGCCCAAGGGACACAACTCTGCACAGTGAATCGCGGCGCCTTAGAAGACTTGGCCACCCGTGCCCCCAGGATATATAGGAACGTACACATACAAATATATATTCTTGAAACAAAAGTGAGCACGATGGGTTTTAAGAGGACTTATTTATCTCAACCCTGTTTTCTTTTCAATGCAACCTAGGTACAGATACTTGTTGCCTTTATCAAGCAAACACTTTTCACTGACACGACAGATTGCTAATGTCACGTAAAGATACAGTATTTCAATTTTATCCCAACATAGTCATATTAGTGCTGGAGCACCCTGAGGAGTACTGCTGGGAGTGCACCTCGTCTGGGACATCGACTCCCATGCCACTAACAAGGTATGGAGCTCACAAACCCAGGATCAGAATGGGGCGAATCTGGATTTGACCCCATGATGAGAAGATTCTGGTGTAGCAGGGCGTGGAGTCGTCCCACAGATGACATCCTTACCTTGTCAGCTTGCTGATGGGTTAACCTCTTTGGTCATGTGGACAAGGTGTCCGACCTCTGATCAGAAGGTCCATGGTTCGAATCCCATCACGGGACTCGGATATTTTATGGCTGCTACACTGGCAACACTAAGGGATCCAACTCATACCGCTGGGCACCAATGCTCCACAATTACGACATGGCGAAACAGTAATTTTATAGATAATTTACAAACAGAAAAAAGATTTTCAATGCTAGAATATGCAAGTGAAGTCTAGCCCTACCACCACTGACTGGCTGAATGTTCTTCTGACACAGTGTGAGTGAGTGAGTATGGTTTTTTACGCCGCTTTTAGCAATATTCCAGCAATATCACGGCGGGGGACACCAGAAATGGGCTTAACACATTGTACCCATGTCGGGAATCGAACCCGGGTCTTCGGCGTGACGAGCAAACGCTTTAACCACTAGGCTACCCGACCGCCCCTCTTCTGACACAGGTTACAGTGTTCCAGCTACATCATGACAGTATGTAAACAATCAAATCTGGACCAGATAAACCATAGCATCATAAGCAACCACATTTGGGGCACAAGGTCACACACTGTCTATCACTTGATAAATACACCTAGTTAAAAATGATTGTTTCTTGGTCAAACACAATATCACTCAAGCACTAACTTAGTCTGATCGTCTGACAAACATGGGATATTGAGGTTTATCATATAATGGGTGGGTTTCTCGGCAGGATAAAGCCAACGGATAACAATATCTGTTGGGGTCATATGCGGATAGAGATGCAAATATCAAAGGTCAAGTAGGGACTACTTTCAGTGTTTATAAACAAACATGGCATCGCCCTTGTCATTTGGCAAATCGTGTCAGAATTAACCATCGGGAATCTGGAGAAACAACTGGGATAATTGGTATTAATTGCTATCATTATCAAAAGAATAGACTAATAATGTATACTGAAAATCAGTGTCCAACTGTGATGTAGCTAAGTCATTTTACAAGTTTTGGCAACTTTGGAGATACAAATTTCGAAACAATATTGCAAGAGCATGAGGCCTAGCCAAGCGGGATAAGTAGCCATATCTGTGCTTGTAGACCTCTGTGGCTTGGAACCTTTTCCACAAATTAAAACTGTTGGATTTGGCCAAAATATGTTTGAATTGTTACCTTGTTTCGTTTTGTCGCTGTGTGTACATCTAAACTGCACTTCGTAATGTTATGACAGGACAGGCCGACTGTCAACAACATCTAACTTTGGCCATGACGTTTCATAGACTAAGGTTAGAGTAGCTTCCCTTTTATAAAGAGCAGTTACTCTATCGGACAGACCGATAGATTGCCGCGAAAAGCAAGGAAGAGCAATTTGTGTAGGCAATGGTTGTTTGCATATATGTAGTTACCCAACTATATAGGAAACAGGTTTCTGTTGGAACTATATCGGCTACCGACTGACACATCACATACCTTCTGACGTAATATATATTAATGCGCACATTCCAGGAAAACTTGCAATGTTTAGGTAATGTTTGTGAGAGATGGAAAGGGATTTTCGAGCACAGAATTGAAGAAGGACATTATATGATAAAGAGGTTATCACGCTTGTGTGTTTGGAGATGGTAAATATCCTGTATTAGGAATAAACACTATGTATTTATCTCGCCAAGGCTTGCTAAATACAATGCTTATTCCTAATACAGGATATTTACCATCCCCAAACACACTTGCGTAATAACCTCTACTTATTCACATCAGGCACAACAATATGTAACAAGGACTGCCAAAAGCTCATACATGTATATCTTGTGTTGTTATTTATTTGTTTGTTTGTTTGTTTGTTTATTCATTCATTCATTCATTCACAATCCCAGTGACATGTACCCGGTACAGGTCAAATATGTTCCCTGCCACCACCACGTAGGTACTTTGGGTCAGACACCCAAACACTCACATAGGCATGGGGGGCAGGGGACCTGTCCATTCTGCCCCCAACTACCTCCCCGGGGCAAGTTAGTGGACCATGGGCGATGGCTCCTCACCTGCAATGGCAGTTCATGTAGCCGCAAGGTTGCTATTGGTCAGAAGCTCATTCACGTTGATCTGGCCGAAGTCGTCGGGGTAGTTGTAGTCCATGTCGCCCATGAGGAAGTCGTCCAAATGTATCTGATTGGCGTCTGTCGTCATTCTACGAAACAAAGGACAAAATTACTGACTTGTCTGAAATAGAGGAACTTCACATCAAGGTGTAAACACTGCCATACAAAATCAGTGGTCAGCTACGGTCTGGATACATTGCTAATACATACATTTTCCCTCTTCTACAGCAAAGTACAGGACTTGAGAACTGTAAGACTATGGAGCCATTAAATGACCATGGCACTACCAGTAGGATGTAACCATGGAGCTATGATAAGCCTATGGAGCTATGATAAGCCTTTGGAGCTATGATAAGCCTATGGAGCTATGATAAGCATATGGTGCTAAGCCTATGGAGCTACGATGAGCCTATGGAGCTATGATATGCCTATGGAGCTATGATATGCCTATGGAGCTATGATAAGCCTATGGAGCTATGATATGCCTATGGTGCTAAGCCTATGGAGCTATGATAAGCCTAAGGAGCTATGATAAGCCTATGGAGCTATGATAAGCCTATGGTGCTATGACAAGCCTATGGTGCTATGATAAGCCTTTGGTGCTATGATAAGCCTTTGGAGCTACGATAAGCCTATGGAGCTATGACAAGCCTATGGTGCTATGATAAGCCTTTGGTGCTATGATAAGCCTTTGGAGCTACGATAAGCCTATGGAGCTATGATAAGCCTATGAAGCTATGATAAGCCTATGGAGCTAAGCCTATGGAGCTACGATAAGCCTTTGGAGCTATGATAAGCCCATGAAGCTATGATAAGCCTATGAAGCTATGATAAGCCTATGGAGCTAAGCCTATGGAGCTACGATGAGCCTATGGAGCTATGATATGCCTATGGAGCTATGACCACGGAGCCGACTATCAAGCTGTCACTGTGGAGCTACGACCACGGAGCTGACTATCAAGCTGTTACTGTGGAGCTATGACCACGGAGCTGACTATCAAGCTGTTACTGTGGAGCTACGACCATGGAGCTGACTATCAAGCTGTCACTGTGGAGTTACGACCACGGAGCTGACTATCAAGCTGTTACTGTGGAGCTACGACCACGGAGCTGACTATCAGGCTTCACTCTGGAGCTACGACCACGGAGCTGACTACCAAGCTGTGACTGTGGAGCTATGACCACGGAGCTGACTATCAAGCTGTGACTGTGGATCTATGACCACGGAGCTGACTATCAAGCTGTTACTGTGGAGCTACGACCACGGAGCTGACTATCAAGCTGACACTGTGGAGTTACGACCACGGAGCTGACTATCAAGCTGTCACTGTGGAGTTACGACCACGGAGCTGACTATCAAGCTGTTACTGGAGCTATGATAAGCCTATGGAGCTATGATAAGCATATGGTGCTAAGCCTATGGAGCTACGATGAGCCTATGGAGCTATGATATGCCTATGGAGCTATGATATGCCTATGGAGCTATGATAAGCCTATGGAGCTATGATATGCCTATGGTGCTAAGCCTATGGAGCTATGATAAGCCTAAGGAGCTATGATAAGCCTATGGAGCTATGATAAGCCTATGGTGCTATGATAAGCCTATGGTGCTAAGCCTATGGAGCTATGATAAGCCTATGGAGCTATGATAAGCCTATGGTGCTAAGCCTATGGAGCTATGATATGCCTATGGAGCTATGATAAGCCTATGGTGCTAAGCCTATGGAGCTATGATAAGCCTAAGGAGCTATGATAAGCCTATGGAGCTATGATAAGCCTATGGTGCTATGATAAGCCTATGGTGCTAAGCCTATGGAGCTATGATAAGCCTATGGAGCTATGATATGCCTATGGAGCTATGATAAGCCTATGGAGCTATGATAAGCCTATGGAGCTACGATGAGCCTATGGAGCTATGATATGCCTATGGTGCTAAGCCTATGGAGCTATGATAAGCCTAAGGAGCTATGATAAGCCTATGGAGCTATGATAAGCCTATGGTGCTAAGCCTATGGAGCTATGATAAGCCTATGTAGCTATGATAAGCCTATGGTGCTAAGCCTATGGAGCTATGATATGCCTATGGAGCTATGATAAGCCTATGGAGCTATGATAAGCCTATGGTGCTAAGCCTATGGAGCTATGATAAGCCTATGGAGCTATGATAAGCCTATGGAGCTATGATATGCCTATGGAGCTATGATAAGCCTATGGAGCTATGATAAGCCTATGGAGCTATGATAAGCCTTTGGTGCTATGATAAGCCTTTGGAGCTACGATGAGCCTATGGAGCTATGATAAGCCTATGGAGCTATGATAAGCCTATGGAGCTATGATAAGCATATAGAGCTATGATAAGCCTTTGGTGCTATGATAAGCCTTTGGAGCTACGATAAGCCTATGGAGCTATGATATGCCTATGGAGCTATGATGAGCTTATAGAGCTATGATAAGCCTTTGGTGCTATGATAAGCCTATGGAGCTATGATATGCCTATGGAGCTATGATAAGCCTTTGGTGCTATGATAAGCCTTTGGAGCTACGATAAGCCTATGGAGCTATGATAAGCCTATGGAGCTATGATAAGCCTATGGTGCTAAGATAAGCCTTTGGTGCTATGATGAGCCTTTGGAGCTACGATAAGCCTATGGAGCTATGATAAGCCTATGAAGCTATGATAAGCCTATGGAGCTAAGCCTATGGAGCTACGATAAGCCTTTGGAGCTATGATAAGCCTATGAAGCTATGATAAGCCTATGAAGCTATGATAAGCCTATGGAGCTATGATAAGCCTATGGAGCTATGACAAGCCTTTGGTGCTATGATAAGCCTTTGGTGCTATGATAAGCCCTTGGAGCTACGATAAGCCTATGGAGCTATGATAAGCCTATGAAGCTATGATAAGCCTATGGAGCTAAGCCTATGGAGCTACGATAAGCCTTTGGAGCTATGATAAGCCTATGAAGCTATGATAAGCCTATGAAGCTATGATAAGCCTATGGAGCTATGATATGCCTATGGAGCTATGATAAGCCTATGAAGCTATGATAAGCCTATGGAGCTATGACAAGCCTATGGTGCTATGATAAGCCTTTGGTGCTATGATAAGCCTTTGGAGCTACGATAAGCCTATGGAGCTATGATAAGCCTATGAAGCTATGATAAGCCTATGGAGCTAAGCCTATGGAGCTACGATAAGCCTTTGGAGCTATGATAAGCCCATGAAGCTATGATAAGCCTATGAAGCTATGATAAGCCTATGGAGCTAAGCCTATGGAGCTACGATGAGCCTATGGAGCTATGATATGCCTATGGAGCTATGACCACGGAGCCGACTATCAAGCTGTCACTGTGGAGCTACGACCACGGAGCTGACTATCAAGCTGTTACTGTGGAGCTATGACCACGGAGCTGACTATCAAGCTGTTACTGTGGAGCTACGACCATGGAGCTGACTATCAAGCTGTCACTGTGGAGTTACGACCACGGAGCTGACTATCAAGCTGTTACTGTGGAGCTACGACCACGGAGCTGACTATCAGGCTTCACTCTGGAGCTACGACCACGGAGCTGACTACCAAGCTGTGACTGTGGAGCTATGACCACGGAGCTGACTATCAAGCTGTGACTGTGGATCTATGACCACGGAGCTGACTATCAAGCTGTTACTGTGGAGCTACGACCACGGAGCTGACTATCAAGCTGACACTGTGGAGTTACGACCACGGAGCTGACTATCAAGCTGTCACTGTGGAGTTACGACCACGGAGCTGACTATCAAGCTGTTACTGTGGAGCCACGACCATGGAGCTGACTACCAAGCTGTGACTGTGGAGCTACGACCACGGAGCTGACTATCAAGCTGTCACTGTGGAGCTACGACTACGGAGCTGACTATCAAGCTAGCGCTACCAGTAGGATGTAACCATGGAGCTATGATAAGCCTATGGAGCTATGATAAGCCTATGGAGCTTTGATAAGCCTATGGAGCTATGATAAGCCTATGGAGCTATGATAAGCATATAGAGCTATGATAAGCCTATGGAGCTATGACAAGCCTATGGAGCTATGATAAGTCTATGAAGCTATGATAAGCCTATAGAGCTAAGCCTATGGAGCTACGATGAGCCTATGGAGCTATGATATGCCTATGGAGCTATGACCACGGAGCCGACTATCAAGCTGACACTGTGGAGCTACGACCACGGAGCTGACTATCAACCTGTCACTGTGGAGTTACGACCACGGAGCTGACTATCAAGCTGTTACTGTGGAGCTACGACCACGGAGCTGACTATCAAGCTGTTACTGTGGAGCTACGACCACGGAGCTGACTATCAAGCTGTTACTGTGGAGTTACGACCACGGAGCTGACTATCAAGCTGTTACTGTGGAGCTACAACCACGGAGCTGACTATCAAGCTGTTACTGTGGAGCTACGACCACGGAGCTGACTATCAAGCTGTCACTGTGGAGCTACGACCACGGAGCTGACTATCAAGCTGTCACTGTGGAGCTATGACCACGGAGCTGACTATCAAGCTGTTACTGTGGAGCTACGACCACGGAGCTGACTATCAAGCTGTTACTGTGGAGCTACAACCACGGAGCTGACTATCAAGCTGTTACTGTGGAGTTACGACCACGGAGCTGACTATCAAGCTGTCACTGTGGAGCTACGACCACGGAGCTGACTATCAAGCTGTCACTGTGGAGCTATGACCACGGAGCTGACTATCAAGCTGTTACTGTGGAGCTACGACCACGGAGCTGACTATCAAGCTGTCACTGTGGAGTTACGACCACGGAGCTGACTATCAAGCTGTTACTGTGGAGCTACGACCATGGAGCTGACTATCAAGCTGTCACTGTGGAGCTACGACCACGGAGCTGACTATCAAGCTGTCACTGTGGAGCTACGACCACGGAGCTGACTATCAAGCTGTGACTGTGGAGCTAAGACCACGGAGCTGACTATCAAGCTGTGACTGTGGAGCCACGACCACAGAGCTGACTATCAAGCTGTTACTGTGGAGCCACGACCACGGAGCTGACTGTCAAGCTGTGACTATGGAGCTATGACCACGGAGCTGACTATCAAGCTGTCACTGTGGAGCTACGACCACAGAGCTGACTATCAAGCTGTGACTGTGGAGCTACGACCACGGAGCTGACTATCAGGCTTCACTGTGGAGCTACGACCACAGAGCTGACTATCAAGCTGTCACTGTGGAGCTACGACCACGGAGCTGACTATCAAGCTGTGACTGTGGAGTTACGACCACGGAGCTGACTATCAAGCTGTCACTGTGGAGCCACGACCACGGAGCTGACTATCAAGCTGTGACTGTGGAGCCACGACCATGGAGCTGACTATCAAGCTGTCACTCTGGAGCTACGACCACGGAGCTGACTATCAAGCTGTCACTGTGGACCTACGACCACGGACCTGACTATCAAGCTGTCACTGTGGAGCCACGACCACGGAGCTGACTATCAAGCTGTCACTGTGGAGCTACGACCACGGACCTGACTATCAAGCTGTCACTGTGGAGCCACGACCACGGAGCTGACTATCAAGCTGTTACTGTGGAGCTACGACCACGGAGCTGACTATCAAGCTGTCACTGTGGAGCTACGACCACGGAGCTGACTATCAAGCTGTCACTGTGGAGCTATGACCACGGAGCTGACTATCAAGCTGTTACTGTGGAGCTATGACCACGGAGCTGACTATCAAGCTGTTACTGTGGAGCTACAACCACGGAGCTGACTATCAAGCTGTTACTGTGGAGTTACGACCACGGAGCTGACTATCAAGCTGTCACTGTGGAGCTACGACCACGGAGCTGACTATCAAGCTGTCACTGTGGAGCTATGACCACGGAGCTGACTATCAAGCTGTTACTGTGGAGCTACGACCACGGAGCTGACTATCAAGCTGTCACTGTGGAGTTACGACCACGGAGCTGACTATCAAGCTGTTACTGTGGAGCTACGACCATGGAGCTGACTATCAAGCTGTCACTGTGGAGCTACGATCACGGAGCTGACTATCAAGCTGTCACTGTGGAGCTACGACCACGGAGCTGACTATCAAGCTGTGACTGTGGAGCTAAGACCACGGAGCTGACTATCAAGCTGTGACTGTGGAGCCACGACCACAGAGCTGACTATCAAGCTGTTACTGTGGAGCCACGACCACGGAGCTGACTGTCAAGCTGTGACTATGGAGCTATGACCACGGAGCTGACTATCAAGCTGTCACTGTGGAGCTACGACCACAGAGCTGACTATCAAGCTGTGACTGTGGAGCTACGACCACGGAGCTGACTATCAGGCTTCACTGTGGAGCTACGACCACAGAGCTGACTATCAAGCTGTCACTGTGGAGCTACGACCACGGAGCTGACTATCAAGCTGTGACTGTGGAGTTACGACCACGGAGCTGACTATCAAGCTGTCACTGTGGAGCCACGACCACGGAGCTGACTATCAAGCTGTGACTGTGGAGCCACGACCATGGAGCTGACTATCAAGCTGTCACTCTGGAGCTACGACCACGGAGCTGACTATCAAGCTGTCACTGTGGACCTACGACCACGGACCTGACTATCAAGCTGTCACTGTGGAGCCACGACCACGGAGCTGACTATCAAGCTGTCACTGTGGAGCTACGACCACGGACCTGACTATCAAGCTGTCACTGTGGAGCCACGACCACGGAGCTGACTATCAAGCTGTCACTGTGGATCTAGGACCACGGAGCTGACTATCAAGCTGTCACTGTGGATCTAGGACCACGGAGCTGACTATCAAGCTGTGACTGTGGATCTACACAAATTTAGTAGAACATGTAGCAGAACTTACTCCTCAACGTTCTGCTGTGTGCTGTGGACGGAGCCTGGACTTCGGTCGTAGATGGTTGTGGCTGGGGACAGTGGCGACATTAACTGGGGTGTCTGCGGGTTGTCATAGTTCATTGGAGCACCGTAAGGAACAGGACTGAAACAAAACAGGAAATAGTGATAATATCTTCATACTATATTCAATGGACATATGATAATCAGTATTAGGTAAGGCATTTCTATACTTCTTGGTTTACATATTATTCTGTGAAGAATCCTGGTTGACAGTTCGGAATGGAATATAATAAAGATCTTTTTTTTCTGTCCTCATCCTAATGTTCTGTAGCTGGTCTCGTCTGTCATGCAGATCGGTCCTGTACTTAAAACTTGTGATTGTATTACGGTTCACATCTTCCCAAGTTCTAGTTTTCACCTTTTCCATTTCAAGCCTAAATTTCGGCACTAAAATATGAGAGAACTATCCCAGGTGTTGAGAGTCCAATCAGAGAATGTTGTACAAAATCAACATCAGGGTGCCACAACCAACAACTGTTGCATTTGCGCTGAAGTGATTAAAAACATTAAGTGAAGACAAACAGTTTCCAAGTGGTTACAAGTCTTCAATCAACTTGCAAGTACTTTAATATTTCCCAGTGCAAGCTATATAGTTCGTTAACTCGAACGACTCAACGACCGAGATGCAGTGCTACTTTTAGAAAATCCCTGCTGAGACTTTCATGCCAATCACTGGATTGTCTGATCCAGTCATATACAGTAAAGTACAGTTATAATGAACTCAAAGGGACTACTAATTTTAGTTCGTTATAACCGTACTTCGTTATAAGCATATATACAGCATAACTACAGCAAATAGTCGGGACCAAAAAAGTTTGTTATATCCGTAAGTTTGTTATAAGCGTGTTCGTGATAACCGTAGCTTACTGTAGCTGGAATATTGCTGAGTGCGGCATTAAATAATTACCAAACAACAACAAAGCTAAGGGAGTGTCCAAGGGGAGTGTCCAAAGGGTAATTACAGCATCGAAATAGAACAGAGCCCAGCTGTCATTACTAAAACTATAACTCATAGATGTACTTAATGGGACTAATTGTGTTCTTTGTCTGGGTTGCTGCCTACCTTAACAGATTTACAGGCAGAGGCTGATTTTGTGTAGGTTGTGATTGCACAACACTAAACATTAGGGCTGGGACGAGTCCAAATTTACTACCCGGGTACCCACCCCCTATTACCTGACCCTACCCGGGCACCCGCTGTAGGTCTCAAGAGATAGGTACAAAATGTCTGATTGGGAAACGATTGACCATACTCCTGTCAAAATGCATTTAGATACAGGTATAAAATTATCTGGTCATGCATACACTGAAGTTGACTGAAGTTTTATCTTATAGCCAACATAAAAAGTCAGAAGGAATGGTGCATAGTCGGAAAGAAATGTGAACATTTGTCACTTATAGTGTAACCATAGAGTTCTAGATAATTTTTGCCATTAAACAATATAATCACGAGACTAACCACTGGTCCGGGTAGTCCTGTGGGTACCCAGGATCCTACTCAGGACCCACCCGACCCGAGTACCCGAGTTACCCACCCCAGCCCTACTAAACATAGCTTTCATTGGCCCTTGGTATGGCAATACATCAGGGTAGGATAACATGTACTGAACCAAGTCTATACGGTGATTCTTGCCAAATCAAAAACAGCAGAGCAGTTTGTGATCCTTTGTATCAACCAATAAACAAACTCGTCAGGTATAGACATATCTATGTTTACTTACATTTGTGATTAAGGATGTTATGCATGCACATTTGTACATGGATATGGCAAAGATTTGAACCACTTTGTGGCCACTGTCTGTTGGCTAAAAGCACTAAGATTGCTGCCCAAACCAACTACTGAACCAGTTAATTGTGGTCCATGGACCTGAGGCAATTACTACACTGTGTGAACTATTCTCTACTGAATCAGTTGTAAATCAGAGTTACCAGCGAGAATGCTCAATTTGAGCTCTGGGTAAAGGTTGAGGATTCTCATCAAGAAACACAAGTCATCAGGAGATGACATATCCCTCGTTCTGGTGCAATTCGGTGCTACTTACACCCTACTTTAGGTTCATTGCCATTGGATACCTTCAGTTCAGTAAAAAAATAAATAATCCTGTTCAGTATTTTTCAAAATCCCAAACTATCAAAAGGCTCCAGTTCACCACCAGACTGATCTGTATAGCAAGATACACCTAGAAATATTCAACGTTTTGGAGTTCTGCTCGGGAAACGAGCACTACCCTCATTTTCAGTAAAGTCCATCTTGTCGTCATCAAAACATAAAAAAAACATATACATATAAAAAATCCAAATCATCGAAAGGCACCAGTTCCCCACTAGACTGATCTGCTTAGCAAGTTTCATCCAGAAATAGTCAACAGTTTTGGAGTTCTGTTCCACAAACAGAAAACAACTTGTTTTCATCATGAAAATTCTTGAAAACAAAACAAAAAATAAAAAATATACATCCCAAATCATCAAAAGGCACCAGTTCCCCACCAGACTGATCAAGTGATCACTACAATGAAATTGCATCACAAACCTTTGCAGACCAAAGGTTAGAAGAATGATTTTTGGATGATAAATAGAATCTCACGCTTGTCTTTTGTATGTTAAATATATCAACACTTGCCAATATAGGTTTTAAACTCCTTGGCAAGCCTCAGAGTTTAAAACATTTATTGACTCAAAATACATATACCGGGTACTAGAAAAGATGACATACCTTATTCTGTTATAAATACTCCTCGTTTAACCTGAATAGAGAATCAAGAAGCCTCGGTGTTTCAAACTTCTACTGACGAGCATGGATTTGGTATTGATTTGGTATCAAAAGACACCCAGGTGAGATGTCCTCTTCACAATACACAATGTACAATAGATCAGGCATGATATCGTCTCTAGTATCTGCACTATGTTGGCAAACCATGAGAATATTATTTTTCAATAGAAATGCTGTACAAAACACATGTAAAGCTAAACAACACCCACCAATACCTTGTCCTACCATTGCTTCTGTGTGTTATGGAGAGGTGCGTTGGAGCAATATATAATGGCTTTCTTCCACGTTGCAAACTGACAGTTCATGACATCTTTGAACTAACTATTGCTGCTGAATTCAATGAACTAAATATTCCTTAAGTCAGTGAACAAAATCGTTCAACAGTCCTTGAACAAAAGGCTGTTAAGTCCAACGATAAAACAGCTCCAAGGCCCTTGCACTGAATGTACCTGAAGTTTGTAAACTTATAAGGGCATTGACTACTGGATGACTGTTTCGGGCCTTACTTATTGCAAGATTTAAACTGTCCTTCAATCTGTAGATTCAACACTTACATAAATTGAGATCCATCGACATAATTAACCATATGGGATATCAAGAGAGCATTATTCAATTTTTCACGATAGAGAAAATTACTGGAAGTACATTCACAGCAAGAACATCCTACATTTCATCGTCTTCATCTATTTGATGGTGGAGTCAATCTGCACCTAAACACTTACATAAATTGAGATCCATCGACATAATTAACCATATGGGATATCAAGAAAGCATTATTCAATTTTTCACGATAGAGAAAATTACTGGAAGTACATTCACAGCAAGAACATCCTACATTCCATCGTCTTCATCTATTTGATGGTGGAGTCAATCTGCACCTAAACAGTTTTAGATAAGCAGTCTTAAAACTGCTATGACACAGGGCGTAGATTATAGGGTTCAATACTGAGTTTGTAAAAGCCAGGTGAAGCACCACATCCATTGCATGGCCTGGTTCACAGGACTCGCAAAAGGTAAAGACAAGAATCAGAGCTGAGAACGGAAGCCAAGCAAACAGAAAGCAGGTGACTACAATGATGATAGTTTTGGTTGTCTGAAGCAGATGACTGGAACCTCGTCGACATTGGTTACGGGGTGACAAGAAGGTCTGACTCTGGACTCTCAAGGTCTGTTCTCGATACTTCATGTCCAAATCTCTCGATATCAGGAAAATTCTCAGATGGGAATAAGCCAAGCAAGCAAATGGGACTAAAGCTCCCGCTATCACCGACACAAGCAGAAATGTCTTGTCGAAAACTTTGTAATAAATACACTCCTCAAACTCTGTGTTCATCGCAAAATGGGACAACCCTGTTGTGAGAATACTGATCATCCACACCAAAGCTATAACCAAAGGTAGTAGGTGTGGTTTCAGGGAAATAATCCGATGGTGCCACAAGGGATAGCAGATCGCCAAATAGTGATTGATTGTGACGACAGTCAAGTTCAAGATGGAAGCTGTGACAACCATCAGACAACTCAGTAAAGTCACATGACACAATGTTTCGTTCCGAAACAGGCTTGGCACTACCGACCATGTAATGTACAGTGGAACTGTCACTGTTCCTTGAAGCAGGTCGGCAACGGACAAAGACACTAACAGGATATACCGGAATTGTTGCAGGAAGTGAAACTTCATGACAGCCACGATGACCACTGTGTTCCCAGTAATGATGCCGAGAGCCAGGAGGGTCAGATACAGAATGAACAGCACCTTTGTCATCGTGAACTCCTCCATTGAAGAAGTACTGTTCCTCTCCGACAGATGATTTCCAGCATCTTCAACTACAGAAACATTTCTGAAGGTCTTCAGAGTGTCCACCATACCTTGCGTATAATTTGAATCAGACCCATGAATAGCCTTCCACAACATCTTGACAGGGGTACAAATGTTAATTAATGTTTCAGTTCTGGCAAGGGGCACGTGTGGCCCAGTCGTCTGAGGTGCCGCAATTCACTGCGCAGAGTTGCGTCCCCGGGGCACGCCAGAAAAAAATGATTGTGGTTTTGAATCCTGGTTAGCCCCAATTGTCAATTGCCAATGGTTTGTCAGCACCATACCCATGCTCATGGGTTTCACAGAAATGGTAAATGTCTAAGACCTGTATCACTTCAGGCTTTCCTTCCACATTAAGTTCTGGCAATTCTGAATTTGCTTCAGCTTTACATGAAGTTTCTGTATCTCACAGTTACCAGCGCTCCCCATGGCCATAATCCCGTGTGGTAAGCTCGTTAAGAGAAGCCATACAGCAGGATATCACGTGTCTCCACAATCCTCCCAATTATCCTCTATAGCGACATCACGACTGGGTTCTGACCAATCGGGTGGCTCCCCTGCTATGTATTGATCTGTTCAGGTACAGCCTGCTAACTCTTGTACACCACTGGGAATAGGTCTGCCATCATTGATGGCTGTTTTGTCATGTACAATATATCATTCACATCAAATAAACTTGTAATCCCTGATTTGTTGTGTAATAGTGCCAATCAATACTGTGAACAATACCCATCATGTCTGGACAGAGACCAGATAATTCATACTGTTATGAAACTCAAATTTAGTATTATATATTGTTTGTTGTTTAACTTCACACTCAGCAAAATTCCAGCTACAGTAGAACATAAACACAAAAGTACAGGGGACAAGAGAAATCAATTTGTTTTATATGTTGTTCGTTATACACATTTTCTCTCGGACACATCCGCCATCTTCGATTACACAAAACACAATAATTGCAGCATTTATATGTTTAATGTTAATGGTACGGAGAAGATTAGTCGAAGGTAAGGTTAACAAAAACAAATTTAATAAGGTTTAATCAGGTATCACCACTGATTGTGCTGATTCTCATTGACTGAGCTGTTTTGATTGGGTTTAGACAATTGTCAAGGACACTAACTCTAATTATTTGTATGTGGGCTTGTCGGGGATCAAATATCAGTTAGCTGTGTATGTTAATTTGCTGTAAAGAGTTTGTTTGTTATAATAGAGCAATTTGTAATTTTTGTAACATTTCATTGTATTTGTTTGTTTGCTCTGTCTGTGTTTTTGTTATATCCAGGTTCTGCTGAAAAATAATGGCGGTCTGTAAATAATCGAGTCTGGACCAGACAATCCGGTGATTTACATCATGAGCATCGATCTGCCCAATTGGGATATGATGACAGAGTTGTTGCAGTGCGGTTGAGGCTGGTTAATGGGAGTGGGAGAGGAGATGGAGGTGGATGGGGTGGATGGGGTTGAAGTTGGTTGGTTCAGGGTGGGTGGACATGGTTGGGGTTGGAGTGGGTTGGGTCAGGGAGGGTGGAGGTGGTTGAGTCAGGGAGGGTGGAGGTGGTTGGGGTTGGAGTGGGTTGGGTCAGGGAGGGTGGAGATGGTTGGGTCAGGGAGGGTGGAGGTGGTTGGGGTTGGAGTGGGTTGGTTCAGGGAGGGTGTTGGTGGCTCGGGTTACTGTAGTTTGGCATGCATTTAAACTTTGTGACAAATCAGGTATTTTTTATACCAACTGAGACTATTATGTCATGTTTTTTTTATACACATTGGACATAGGTCATGACAAAGCAATGATGTCTTGGCAAAGAACGCTATTGCCAACCATAACCGTATTGATCACTGGAGGTGAAGCCTTCAGTTGAGCAGTGAATCCTGTGATAATGATAAGAGACTATGACAATTTGCCCAATTACTTTCACATCAAACAGTTTCCACTCCTGTGATCGTTGAGGCATATTTAAGACCAACCCCTGCAACCAGTACTCTAAGGATACTTTTTTCTACCATACAGCAATGCGAGGAGGGCTAATTCATCCAGACATGAAAGCGACCTATCTTATGATCATGTACCTTCTTGGGTTCTTTCGTCAAGTAAAATCCCTCATAATGAGAAAAGCCAACCGAGTGCCACAATATTTGGCTGCCTTGACCAAGTTCATCACGTTTCTGATACACTAGCATTCCACTCATCATGGTCCTATTAATCCATGTACAGTCAAGTCTCGTTAATCCGACACTCGTTAATCCAACAATCGGCCTTATCCGACACTAATGATGGGAACAGATTAAATCAGTGCTATTTAGTCTCGTTAATCCGACAGTCTCGCACTCCGACTCCGACACACATAATTTGCAACAAATAACCGAAATCACTCATTATCAATCTCGTTAATCCGAAACAGTGATCAGTGTACTCCGTGGTCATCTGCCCGAGAGTACACAGCCCCATGTTTTGATGCAAGACGAGTTGGCGAGTAGTTGCATATTTCAACAGCTGCAGAGATAAATTTGCTTAACAATAAACAATTACTGCTTCAATTAAACAAAACAGGGTTAATCACATGCCTTGATTACCTCAATCTCATTAAATCGGATACAAGTTCTCGCTACCACCGAGGACATCCCATCACAGATCACGTCAGATCGACCTTTCGCAAACTTTGACCGACCATGAAATTACAAACAGGAAGTCAACATTAGCCACTAAGAAACAGCTTTCTTAAGCATTGCGGCACTAGTTTCAAATTGACGACTTCCATCCCAAATGCTTTAAAAAGTATGTTGAATCAGTCATACATTAGAAACATATGATTAGAAAACATATACCTCTACCAATGTAACATAAGAATACGAATATTGCCTTTTCCCTCTTTATTTATTATAACGTATTTGAATCGTTATCATCTTGTTGTCCGATTTTCGGTCACGAACGTTGATACTACCTAATTTTGTTTATCCGACATACTCGTTAATCCGACATAATCATATGCAACCAACAGTGTCGGATTAATGGGACTTGACTGTAGTTGGGGTCAAATTTTATACTGGAGCAACCAGCACTAGAAACTACCTACACCCAGCATTCTTGCCTGTATCAATAGATCCTTTTGTTAGACCTGGCATGATGCAGGGCACAGATGTTTGCAAGTTTGGTGAAACCCAGGAGCATAAGTATGGCACAGACAAACCAAATGTATCACCATTGGGGCAAATCTGGGATTTGAACTCACAAGATTGATTGAACCAAAGGGACACAACTCTGTGAAGTAATCTGTGGCGTCTTAGTCCTCCAAGAGAGTGTTTAGTCCATGAAGAGACTACTACTCACTCGCAACTATTAAATAAGTGCAACTGTCAAATTAGTGCAACTATTAACTTAGAGCAACTATTCCACCTTAGCACTAGCCTGCAGTCTGAGCGTATACCTCATAGACACCCAATTGAATTGTTAAAATAATATGAACCCATTTTATCCAATTCACTGTAAGTACCCAATCATATGATACTGGAATAGATACTGGAATCTAATTTCCCTGGCTAAGCCAATACAGTTATATCTAATTTCACAAGATGAAAAATCAATCCTGTTCAGGCCAGTAATTGATTGACTAAGTATGACTATTGGTCAGTAAGCCTTTCAGTACCGGTATATCTGACACAGATTCTACTGTAACAAGGGTCCAGCAGACTGTCTGAGAACAGAGCACCAATGGCTGATGCAAGTGAGGCCTACAGCTATTATAACACCATCCTTGTCTCTATTAAGGGCTTTCTGACCAAATTGTCAACTAAGTACCACGCACGTCACTGATACATCTCTTGCTTAAAAACTAATGCTCAAAATATACACCATCGTGCACAAACATTAAGGGTTTGTTTGACATTTAAAACAGCACTATTCCAGCGAAATAATGGTGGCCTGTCAATAATTGATTCCGGATCACAGACCAGACAAGCTAGTGATTGATATTAGGAGCATCAATCCTTACTGTATGGGCTATGATGATACACAATCAACCGAGTCACCAAGCAAGACCACCCCATCCATTTAGTCACCTTCCACATGAAACTGACACTTGGTGATATAACTGACACTCTGCTTGCTTGCTCACTCACTCACTCACTCTCCTGAGTCCCCTACCTGCTGTAAAACAATGCAATAAGGCCAATAAACCTGATTTCAGCAGCACTTCACAGGCATCATGCAGTGTTCCTTCTCTCAAGTCCTCCCCTCCCCCGTATTCCCCTCCCTCCCCCATATTCCCCTCCCTCCCCGTATTCCCCTCCCTTGCCCCGTATTCCCCTCCCTCGCCCCGTATTCCCCTCCCTCCCTCGTATTCCCCTCACTCCCCCGTATTCCCCCCCTCCCCTGTATTCCCCTCACTCCCCCGTATTCCCCTCCCTCCCCCCGTATTCCCAAGTCTCATATTACCAGTATAGGTTGATGGGGACCGGTTGTCACCTGCAGTCCTCACGGTGGAACAACAATGGCTGATGAATATGACCAGTTATATATCCCTAAAGATAATGTTATGCTTCATTCATGGCACTAGAGTATTATGTTCATAATAAAAGTTTCTCATTAACAAGTTAATTCATTGATCCAACACAATCACAAACAGAAGAGTGAGTGAGTTGGGTTTAATGCCGTTTTAACATTATTCCAGTTATTTCACTGCTTGTCAGCTTAATGTGGGAGGATAGACGAAGTGATGCAGGTCTCAGATATTTACCATTTTGGTGAAACCCATGAGCACAGGTAAGGTGCTGTCAAACCAAGAAACATTATCGGGGAAAACTGGGGTTTGAACCCACAATCATAAGTTTCAAGTGTGCCAAGGAATGCAAGTCTGCACAGTGAATTGCGGCACCCAAGACAACTGTGCCCCCCATGCCCCCCATCATATTTGACAACAGAGGGCTGTTCATTGTTTCTATTGCCAGTGTACACTGCACAGAATTCCACTGTTGAGTTTTAATGTCACAAGACAGTTTATGTCTGGAAGACTGTTGATGCCCCTCAATGATGACCTCTAATTTAAATATTTGTATTTCTATTGTATTGCTAGCACATATGGATGAAAATGGCTAGAATCTGAAAAACTGACATCATGATTCAAAAGTAAAGCCAACCTTATTTCCACCATAATAATCATAATAATAATATTTTCATATAAAGAAATAAAATAAAATTATTATCTGAATGTGTTTCTATATATTGTAAATACCATACATTAGGACAAAAACAGAATTATGGTAGCCTTTGGCAAACATAATACATATTTTTTATTCCTAATATTTGATATTTATATTTATCTCTAATAATATAACGCTATTCTTCCAAAAATTGATTTCTTAAATTGTAATTCTTCCCAATTAAGTAACATTAAAAACCACGTATGAATACAGTGTTGGAGTGAACCGTCCCATTTTTATAAAGTGCCGTGTGATTTGAAGCCATGTTTGATGACATAGCCACCAACACCTAGGAAAAGCTCTGTCAAAACTTATTGGGAACATAGGTCAATATTCCTCTGAACAACAAACTAACTATTTCAGAGATTTTACATGTGCTTTCCATCAATATGAGTATTTAGCACACAGTTCTGAGCAAAGTAAGTAACTAAGTAAGTAATTGGGGATTTAACGTGCGCTTTCCATCATTAAAGCGAATTCACAACATTGACTTCGCTTTATGGAGGTTAAAAGTAGTTCCTCCTCATTTGCATATTCATTGTATTATGATACCAAGTTTATCTTATAGGTTTATCACATTGATAACAGTGTCCATCAGATGATAAAGCAAACTACATCAGTGACATTGTGGTCTAACGTGTTGCAGTGAACCCATACTACATCAATGACATTGTGGTCTAACGTGTTGCAGTGAACCCATACTACATCAATGACATTGTGGACTAACGTGTTGCAGTGAACCCATACTACATCTATGACATTGTGGACTAACGTGTTGCAGTGAACCCATACTACATCAATGACAATGTGGACTAGCATGTTGCAGTGAAGCCATACTACATCAATGACATTGTGGAACTAACGTGTTGCAGTGAACCCATACTACATCAATGACATTGTGGACTAACGTGTTGCAGTGAACCCATACTACATCAATGACATTGTGGTCTAACGCGTTACAGTGAACCCATACTACATCAATGACATTGTGGACTAACGTGCTACAGTGAACCCATACTACATCAATGACATTGTGGACTAACATGTTGCAGTGAACCCATACTACATCAATGACATTGTGGATTAACGTGTTGCAGTGAACCCATACTACATCAATGACATTGTGGACTAGTGTGTTGCAGTGAACCCATACTACATCAATGACATTGTGGACTAACGTGTTGCAGTGAACCCATACTACATCTATGACATTGTGGACTAACGTGTTGCAGTGAACCCATACTACATCAATGACATTGTGGACTAACGTGTTGCAGTGAACCCATACTACATCAATGACATTGTGGACTAACGTGTTACAGTGAACCCATACTACATCAATGACATTGTGGACTAGTGTGTTGCAGTGAACCCATGCTACATCAATGACATTGTGGACTAACGTGTTGCAGTGAACCCACACTACATCAATGACATTGTGGACTAGTGTGTTGCAGTGAACCCATACTACATCAATGACATTGTGGACTAACGTGTTGCAGTGAACCCATACTACATCAATGACATTGTGGACTAACGTGTTGCAGTGAACCCATACTACATCAATGACATTGTGGACTAACGTGTTGCAGTGAACCCATACTACATCAATGACATTGTGGACTAACGTGTTGCAGTGAACCCATACTACATCAATGACATTGTGGACTAACGTGTTGCAGTGAACCCATACTACATCTATGACATTGTGGACTAACGTGTTGCAGTGAACCCATACTACATCAATGACATTGTGGACTAACGTGTTGCAGTGAACCCATACTACATCAATGAAATTGTGGACTAACGTGTTACAGTGAACCCATACTACATCAATGACATTGTGGACTAGTGTGTTGCAGTGAACCCATGCTACATCAATGACATTGTGGACTAACGTGTTGCAGTGAACCCATACTACATCAATGACATTGTGGACTAGTGTGTTGCAGTGAACCCATGCTACATCAATGACATTGTGGACTAACGTGTTGCAGTGAACCCATACTACATCAATGACATTGTGGACTAACGTGTTGCAGTGAACCCATACTACATCAATGACATTGTGGACTAACGTGTTGCAGTGAACCCATACTACATCAATGACATTGTGGACTAACATGTTGCAGTGAACCCATACTACATCAATGACATTGTGGTCTAACGTGTTGCAGTGAACCCATACTACATCAATGACACTGTGGTCTAACGTGTTGCAGTGAACCCATACTACATCAATGACATTGTGGACTAACATGTTGCAGTGAACACATACTACATCAATGACATTGTGGTCTAACGTGTTGCAGTGAACCCATGCTACATCAATGACACTGTGGTCTAACGTGTTGCAGTGAACCCATACTACATCAATGACATTGTGGACTAACATGTTGCAGTGAACCCATACTACATCAATGACATTGTGGACTAACGTGCTACAGTGAACCCATACTACATCAATGACATTGTGGACTAACGTGTTACAGTGAACCCATGCTACATCAATGACATTGTGGACTAACGTGTTGCAGTGAACCCATGCTACATCAATGACATTGTGGACTAACGTGTTACAGTGAATACATACTACATCAATGACATTGTGGACTAACGTGTTGCAGTGAACCCATACTACATCAATGTCATTGTGGACTAACGTGTTGCAGTGAACCCATACTACATCAATGACATTGTGGTCTAGCGTGTTGCAGTGAACCCATGCTACATCAATGACACTGTGGTCTAACGTGTTGCAGTGAACCCATACTACATCAATGACATTGTGGACTAACGTGTTGCAGTGAACCCATACTATATCAATGACATTGTGGACTAACATGTTGCAGTGAACCCATACTACATCAATGACATTGTGGACTAACGTGTTGCAGTGAACCCATACTACATCTATGACATTGTGGACTAACATGTTGCAGTGAACCCATACTACATCAATGACATTGTGGTCTAACGTGTTGCAGTGAACCCATACTACATCAATGACATTGTGGACTAACGTGTTGCAGTGAAGCCATACTACATCAATGACATTGTGGACTAACGTGTTGCAGTGAACCCATACTACATCAATGACATTGTGGACTAACATGTTGCAGTGAACCCATACTACATCTATGACATTGTGGACTAACGTGTTGCAGTGAACACATACTACATCAGTGACACTGTGGTCTAACGTGTTGCAGTGAACACATACTACATCAATGACATTGTGGTCTAACGTGTTGCAGTGAACCCATACTACATCAATGACATTGTGGACTAACGTGTTGCAGTGAACCCATACTACATCAATGACATTGTGGTCTAACGTGTTGCAGTGAACCCATACTACATCAATGACATTGTGGACTAACATGTTGCAGTGAACCCATACTACATCTATGACATTGTGGACTAACGTGTTGCAGTGAACCCATACTACATCTATGACATTGTGGACTAACGTGTTGCAGTGAACCCATACTACATTGTCAAGCGTCCTCACTAACTGGACAAATACTGTGTTAGCGTTAGGCGTCTCAACGTGTGTGATTTCTGTGCACCCTTTCCAGTTGAGTTGATTGGTTCAACTGTGTCATATGGCCCTGTGACGCAGGGGTAGCATTATGCAGATGGCTGTTTCAATGAATGCTCGTTCCATCCCTGACGAACAGGTCTGGTTGTTGATGAAATATAGTGATAGCTAAATAGACAGATTTTTTATCCATGCACTGATTGTCTTTAAATGTAATATCCAGTTATGTATGACTGTTTAATAATCTCATACCAACTTTGACTGGAGTTGGTCCGATAGTTTTTCAGTTATTGTAGTAAATGTCGGTACCTTAAATTACCTTCCAGACTATATGCTGGTCGCATAGGTGGGAGAGTAGTGTTGCTTTGTTTTTGTTTGTTTGTTTGTATGTTGTTAAACGCCGCACTCAGCAATATTCCAGCTATATGATGGTGGTCTGTAACTAATCGAGTCTGGACCAGACAATCTTGTCATTGACATCATGAGCAAAGATCCACACAATTGAGATATGATGACATGCATCAACCATGTCAGCTGGTTATAATGGCGGGAGGAAAGCCTGTATTGATGCAGGTCGTAGATGTTCACCACTTTGGTGACACCCTGGCGTCGACAAGTTTTTCACATTCAGGTAGATTCTGGGATAGAAACCCATGATAGGCATATCCTGCTATGCCTAAGGCCTACTCTGCACAGCATTGTAGTGCTCACGCACCTGGGCCACCAGTGCCCCACTGACGATAAGCAGGAGGTACTCACATGACATTGACCAGGGTAGGCTTGATGTAGCCATCGATAGAGGAACTGGGCTGCTCTGAAACACAGAAACAACATGTAGTTCACAGGTTCTATACTGCCCCGGAAGCTGAGAATGAAGTTTGAATAAAACCAGAATAATTGCTTGAAGCATGCGGCCATGACATGGACTCTTGTGGTATGTAACTTATAATGATTATCATTAATGTAAATACTTGAAGAGTTGTTGAAATATATATGATTATTACGTAAATCATCATCATCATCATCATCATCATCATCATCATCATGGGCCAGAAAGAACACACACTGCTTTACACAGCACAATACAGTGTCCAATTCGTTTTTATTTGAACATAACTAACGCAGAAGAATCATACAGAATCAAATCTTGTGTGTTTGTTTGTTTGTTGTTTAACGCTGCACTCAGCGTTATTCCAGCTATATCAAGGCGGTCTGTAAATAATCAATTCAGGACCAGACAATCCAGTGATTGATATCATGAGCATCGATCTATGCATTTGGGATACAATGACATGCATCAACCAAGTCAGCGAGCCTGACCACCCGATCCTGTTACTCGCCTCTGAGGACAAGCATGGGTTGCTGAAGGCCTGTTCTACCCTGGATCTGGACAGTCCAAACCTTGTGTGTGACAGCTGATCACCAGCCAACAGGGTTCCCCACTCAGCCTTCCAGTGAAGTCAAGCCTGCACCAAGTTGTTCCACATCATTTAAAGGTTATTCCAACAAGAAAAGTGCTTTGTTTACCTGGATTTGACACATAGTACTTGGAGAAGGCCTGGTTCTTTGGTATGTCTGGATACAGGTATGCCAGGTTGCTGAGATCCTTGATTCTGTCCGCCAGACCGCGGATGGAGAAGTCTTTTGATGTAAAGGGAGCCAAGTTCCACACCTCTGATAGAGAGAAAGTCTTACATGTTTAACTTTCACCATGTTCAGGTAATAACAACAAAACATTTCAGGCAACTGTTGGGTGTTTTTATACAATTGGAGATTCAAATATATAATAGGCCTATCTATCAGTGTGTGAGTTAGGGGTGTTTTATACTGCTTCTTGCATTATTCCAGCCATGTGAGTGAGTGAGTGAGTGAGTGGGTGGGTGGGTGGGTGGGTGGGTGAGTGAGTGAGTGAGTGAGTGAGTGAGTGAGTGAGTGAGTGAGTGAGTGAGTGAGTGAGTGAGTGAGTGAGTGAGTGAGTGAGTGAGTTGAAGTTTAACGTCAAATCGGCAATATTTCAGCCATAGCGTGACGAGACAAATTATGATATTAATAATATATAATTAAACTGTTTTCCAGCCATGTTAAGCCTGGAGACACTAAAAAGGGCTTCACACATTGTAATTTTAACCTTGAGCTTGTGTGTAATGTGTCAATGCAAAAACCAATAGGTTACCTCCCTTACATGCACACATCTAGGAGTACAAAAGGGGCCATTCTTTTCAAACACGGGGGTAATTTCAAAAAAGAAAAAGGGTAGGATGGGTGGGATTTTCAAAAAGTATCTAAAAAAACATAATCCAACAACATTTCTTAGAACTGTTAGTCCAAGACAATGTTAGTTGTTTTACTCCAGTGCCAGGCTGTCACTTTGATTTGACAACCTGTTTCCTGTGTCAGATACAAAGCTCCTAACAGTGATGATACACAATGGTGATGCTGCATATTTACCGAGTTTTCCATTGTCAGCTACCCATGCGATGGTGATGCCACCCATCTCGGAGTCGCTGTACCGCAGGAGGAATGTTCCATTGGTCTTGGTGAGAAGCCACTCCTGGGCCTGGAACTTGCTGATGAAGCCAATGATGGACCTGGCGGCAACCAATCCAGACTTTACCAAAACCAGCCATCTTGCACGCTCACATTGTACACTCTAATTGTACTCTCTCTAGCACACTCTCACATTGTACACTCTAATTGTACTCCCTAGCACACTCTCACATTGTACACTCTAATTGTACTCTCTCTAGCACACTCTCACATTGTACACTCTAACTGTACTCTCTAGCACACTCTCACATTGTACACTCTAATTGTACTCTCTCTAGCACTCTCACATTGTACACTCTCATTGTTCTTTCTAGCACACTCTCACATTGTACGCTCTAGCACACTCTCACATTGTACACTCTAGCACACTCTCACATTGTACTCTCTCATTGTACACTCTAGCACACTCTCACATTGTACGCTCTCATTGTACTCTCTAGCACACTCTCACATTGTACGCTCTCATTGTACTCTCTCTAGCACACTCTCACATTGTACTCTCTAGCACACTCTCACATTGTACGCTCTCATTGTACTCTCTAGCACACTCTCACATTGTACGCTCTCATTGTACTCTCTCTAGCACACTCTCACATTGTACTCTCTAGCACACTCTCACATTGTACGATCTCATTGTACTCTCTCTAGCACACTCTCACATTGTACACTCTAATTGTACTCTCTCTAGCACACTCTCACATTGTACACTCTCTCTCGATCACTCTCACATTGTATGCTCTCATTGTACTCTCTAGCACACTCTCACATTGTACACTCTAATTGTACTCTCTCTAGCACACTCTCACATTTTACACTCTCATTGTACTCTCTCTAACACACTCTCACATTGTATGCTCTCATTGTACTCTCTCCAGCACACTCTCACTGTACACAATAGTCACTCTAACAACATTAACATTCCATGGTTAATCTCCAGTACTTACCCATCATTCCACGGTGACTTCAGGTGCTCCTTCGTCAGCTTCAGCACAGCGTAGAACCACTCCCAGAACGTGAAGTTTCTTCCTGGCAAAGCCTCCTGGGGACAAGATGAGAACCAATGTCAAGGCCAGACTCTGACACCAATCACAGCATCAATCACACGACAGCAGTCAAGTTTCAAAGTTTACCTGGGCCTTCAATGTAGCAGGTCAAGGCTTACCTGGACCTTCAATGTAGCAAGTCAAAGTTTACCTGGACCTTCAATGTAGCAAGTCAAGGCTTACCTGGACCTTCAATGTAGCAAGTCAAGGCTTACCTGGGCCTTCAATGTAGCAAGTCAAAGTTTACCTGGGCCTTCAATGTAGCAAGTCAAGGCTTACCTGGACCTTCAATGTAGCAAGTCAAGGCGTACCTGGACCTTCAATGTAGCAAGTCAAGGCTTACCTGGACCTTCAATGTAGCAAATCAAAGCTAACCTGGACCTTCAATGTAGCAAATCAAAGCTAACCTGGACCTTCAATGTAGCAAATCAAAGCTAACCTGGACCTTCAATGTAGCAAATCAAAGCTAACCTGGACCTTCAATGTAGCAAGTCAAAGTTTACCTGGACCTTCAATGTAGCAAGTCAAGGCTTACCTGGACCTTCAATGTAGCAAATCAAAGCTAACCTGGACCTTCAATGTAGCAAGTCAAGGCTTACCTGGACCTTCAATGTAGCAAATCAAAGCTAACCTGGACCTTCAATGTAGCAAGTCAAGGCTTACCTGGACCTTCAATGTAGCAAATCAAAGCTAACCTGGACCTTCAATGTAGCAAATCAAAGCTAACCTGGACCTTCAATGTAGCAAGTCAAAGCTAACCTGGACCTTCAATGTAGCAAGTCAAGGCTTACCTGGACCTTCAATGTAGCAAATCAAAGCTAACCTGGGCCTTCAATGTAATAAGTCAAAATTTACCTGGACCTTCAATGAAGCAAGTCAAGGCTTACCTGGACCTTCAATGTAATAAGTCAAAGCTAACCTGGGCCTTCAATGTAGCAAGTCAAGGCTTACCTGGACCTTCAATGTAGCAAGTCAAGGCTTACCTGGACCTTCAATGTAGCAAGTCAAAGTTTACCTTGACCTTCAATGTAGCAAGTCAAGGCTTACCTGGACCTTCAATGTAGCAAGTCAAGGCTTACCTGGACCTTCAATGTAGCAAGTCAAAGTTTCCCTGGGCCTTCAATGTAGCAAGTCAAAGCTAACCTGGACCTTCAATGTAGCAAGTCAAAGTTTACCTGGACCTTCAATGTAGCAAGTCAAGGCTTACCTGGGCCTTCAATGTAGCAAGTCAAAGTTTACCTGGGCCTTCAATGTAGCAAGTCAAGGCTTACCTGGACCTTCAATGTAGCAAGTCAAGGCGTACCTGGACCTTCAATGTAGCAAGTCAAGGCTTACCTGGACCTTCATTGTAGCAAATCAAAGCTAACCTGGACCTTCAATGTAGCAAATCAAAGCTAACCTGGACCTTCAATGTAGCAAATCAAAGCTAACCTGGACCTTCAATGTAGCAAATCAAAGCTAACCTGGACCTTCAATGTAGCAAGTCAAAGTTTACCTGGACCTTCAATGTAGCAAGTCAAGGCTTACCTGGACCTTCAATGTAGCAAATCAAAGCTAACCTGGACCTTCAATGTAGCAAGTCAAGGCTTACCTGGACCTTCAATGTAGCAAATCAAAGCTAACCTGGACCTTCAATGTAGCAAGTCAAGGCTTACCTGGACCTTCAATGTAGCAAATCAAAGCTAACCTGGACCTTCAATGTAGCAAATCAAAGCTAACCTGGACCTTCAATGTAGCAAGTCAAAGCTAACCTGGACCTTCAATGTAGCAAGTCAAGGCTTACCTGGACCTTCAATGTAGCAAATCAAAGCTAACCTGGGCCTTCAATGTAATAAGTCAAAATTTACCTGGACCTTCAATGAAGCAAGTCAAGGCTTACCTGGACCTTCAATGTAATAAGTCAAAGCTAACCTGGGCCTTCAATGTAGCAAGTCAAGGCTTACCTGGACCTTCAATGTAGCAAGTCAAGGCTTACCTGGACCTTCAATGTAGCAAGTCAAAGTTTACCTTGACCTTCAATGTAGCAAGTCAACGCTTACCTGGACCTTCAATGTAGCAAGTCAAGGCTTACCTGGGCCTTCAATGTAGCAAGTCAAGGCTTACCTTGGCCTGCAATGTAGCAAATCAAAGCTTACCTGGGCCTTCAATGTAGCAAATCAAAGCTAACCTGGACCTTCAATGTAGCAAGTCAAAGCTAACCTGGACCTCCAATGTAGCAAGTCAAGGCTTACCTGGACCTTCAGTGTAGCAAGTCAAGGCTTACCTGGGCCTTCAATGTAGCAAGTCAAGGCTTACCTGGACCTTCAATGTAATAAGTCAAAGCTAACCTGGACCTTCAATGTAGCAAGTCAAGGCTTACCTGGACCTTCAATGTAGCAAATCAAAGCTAACCTGGACCTTCAATGAAGCAAGTCAAGGCTTACCTGGACCTTCAATGTAATAAGTCAAAGCTAACCTGGGCCTTCAATGTAGCAAGTCAAGGCTTACCTGGACCTTCAATGTAGCAAGTCAAGGCTTACCTGGACCTTCAATGTAGCAAGTCAAGGCTTACCTGGGCACCTTAATGTAGCAAGTCAAAGCTTACCTGAGCTGTCAATGTAGCAAGTCAAAGCTTACCTGAGCCGTCAATGTAGAATGTCAAAGCTTACCTGGGCCTTCAATGTAGCAAGTTAAAAGTTACCTGGGCCTTCAATGTAGCAAGTTAAAAGTTACCTGGGCCTTCAATGTAGCAAGTTAAAAGTTACCTGGGCCTTCAATGTAGCAAGTCAAAGTTTACCTGGGCCTTCAATGTAGCAAGTTAAAAGTTACCTGGGCCCACTTGCACAAAATAACCTCCACGTTAAGACCCTCATATTGCAACATTGACATAGGAAAGTGTCAAATACAGGGGTCAAAGTTGATGTGTGAAAGTAAGCCTGACCTTGTTAAAATGGACCCAGGACACAGACATGTTGGTGTAGTCGTCACTCTGTCCGAGGATCTTGCTAGCCAGGTACTTGATGTTGTCATCGGTCAACCCTCGGCCCGTGGCAGCTTTAAACTTCACGTTCAGTTGTTCGGCCAGAAGCGGCCAAAGTACCGATTCTGGTACCTCAAAGGGATTGCGTCCCTGAAGAAAAGTGTATGTATTTCAGAGGCTTGAATCTGCACATGTTCTATCACCACTTGACTAGACTATGCATTTCTTTTGTCGGTTTGTAGTTTTTGCAGCAGTCAGAAATATTCCAACTCATCCCAGCCTGAATATTGGCGGAATAATCAAACTAGTGGCCGACACACAACCAAGCAAGCCTAAATACCCAATCCAACTTTGAAGTCTTTGATAGGCACTTACAAGGAGACGAACATGAAAACATGATACTCTTTATGGACAGCAACTTCTTGTATTTTTTGTCATGTTTCATAGCTACTTCTCGCTCCTTCATCAGGAGAATACTGATTAAATGCATAGAGCTAATGTCATGATTTATAATTTACATTAAGGCCAAAAAGATAACAGTCTTGGTTCTGAGGTACCACCCGCATCATCATAAAGTCTGCTGCACGTTTTGTTTATATTTCCAATTTCAAAAAAATATTAAAATCCTAATACTTTAACACAATGCACACAAAAAATTGAAAATGGACACAATGCAGATGTGGGCAGTGCCTGAGAACCAAGACTATTATTTATTTTAGCCTAATTCTATGCATATACTCAGCATTCACCGTGAAGGAGCAAGAAGCGGCACCAAAACATTGTGACAAAGAATAAAAGAAGTTGCTTTCCATTATGTATTCAATCCAACTTCGTCGATGCTCAAGACGTGCAATAGTGCCGGGCACCTCTTTCATGGTCACCATAGTCACAATGGGTAGATCATGCTTTTTGTCCATGACAGAAACAAAAACTTATCCCAACCACACTAGTAACTTTAGATGGTAATAAGCACATGGCCACTGTTCTGCACATTGTATGAGACTTCCGGTATACTCTATTCTGTACACAAATAAATGGCAAGTGATTCGGTGGCATTTGATTTGGTAACCAGCAGATTTTGTTGGTTTCCATAAACAAAAAAGAAAAAAGACCACACCCACTAATGGACTACTGTTTCCTGATTGGCTGATAATAGAATGGGCGTTGCATGGGTTTCATCATGGCAGCGAATGATGTCACTGATTTTGTATCATTGTCAATATTTTTGGGATGTAACTATGAAATAAGCAGTCTTTAAAGTTATTATTGTTTACATATTTATACAAATTGCATTAATGGAGTTTCAAAAGTAAAACTGTTTTTATGTCCAAAAATAATTATTGAGGATATTGAGTTTGGAAGATACAAGGAGTTGATCATGTAGTGTCAAGTTCATAAAGCAGAAAGAAGCTTTCACGATGGTAATTTTCATTGATGCACAAACGAGTATATTCAAGAACAACTATTTTCAGTCTAACAATGACTCTTTATCAACTTACAGGTGAAGAGAAGGCATTGTCCCATAAGATGGTTGCTAAGGCATTGCATTCCTGGTTGCCATGGACAGTCACCACAACAGGTAATGACAATGTCTGCAAGAAAGGAGAAAAACAAATGCAACAATAATAACACCATAGCAGGCGAACAATTTCAGTTTTCTTTGAAAAGTATGAGGTAATTATTTATCCAGTATTTTCTGGACCGAATTATCCCATTACTGTTCAGTCCTCGCTGATACACACTTGCAGCTTGGTGAACACAGGTAAAGGTCTGACAGAGCCAATAGCAGTCTGTGTTATAGTGTGGGGCAGGACTAAAGCCCTAGGAACTCCCAGATGCATGGTCCATCATCCAACGACTCTCCATCAAGTTGGGGAACCGTGAAGATCCGGGGCAGAATAGGTCTTCAGCAACCCATGCTTGCCATAAAAGGCGACTATGCTTGTCGTAAAAGGCGACTAACGGGATCGGGTGGTCAGACTCGCTGACTTGGTTGATGCATGTCATTCATCCCAATTGCGTGGATCAATGCTCATGATGTCAATCACTGGATTGTCCGGTCCAGACTTGATTATTTACAGACCGCCGTCATATAGCTGGAATATTGCTGAGTGCGGCGTTAAACAACAAACCAACCAACCAACCAACAGACCGCCGTCATATAGCTGGAATATTGCTGAGTGCGGCATTAAACAACAAACCAACCAACCAACAGACCGCCGTCATATAGCTGGAATATTGCTGAGTGCGGCCTTAAACAACCAACAAACCAGCCAACCATCAAGTTGGGACCTCTGTGCCCCACATCAGTGGGGAGATGCTCTACCGGCATTGTCCACACTCCACAATTGTGGAACCAATCTGCCCACAGATTTTACTTTGGTCGGCACAAACAAACGTAGAATCATATTTGGACTTGATATGTAAGATCATTGAGCTTGTATCTGCACAATATCTCAGTAAAAATTCCCGAATTGGAATTAAACATTTCCAAATATATGCTGTTATAGATGTAACTGGTGGGTCTTTGTAGCTTTGTATTTCACTGAGGGAGAGGCCTTAATGCTTACTTTAGCATCATTCCATTGAACACAATGATAAAATTCAGAGATAAATACCTCTGAATTTAAGGGAATAAGAATTTTAAAACAAGTCCGAATTTTGAACAAAATAATTATTCCCCATTTTCCTGGCCAGGGCAGGTTGTCTGGAATTCAGTCCAGTCCCTGGTCTTCCAAGGGTGCAAAGGATCAGATCGAAACTGCTGTGGACAGCTGTGGATCGGTGAGTGAGTGAGTTGGGTTCAATGCTACACTGAATATTAAAGAGTCTTGTTTGGTGTGGATCACATTTAATGTAGGCTTAGAGTTATGTTCTTTCTAGAAAAAAAGAATACTCACCCACACTTGAAACACGAGCTCATTGCCTCCGACATTGAAGTCCGACTGGAACAATATGCAGAACTTCTCCTCCGTTACAGCCTGTAGAAGTAGATCACAAACAGCTGTAAAAATGTTTTTAGGTCAACACCACAATGGAATTTACAACTACTTTTACTCTTTATTGTTTTTTCCCTGATTCAGAGCTTAGTATATGTATATATTTATTCAAAATGGAAGATGGCTGCTTACCTCAGTTCCCTTCCTATCTGCCCTCTTGATTTTCTTTAGTTGCTGAAAATAAAAATAGTGTTGTCTTCATCATTATGCACAAGGCTTGTTTGTTGGTTTCTTTATCATAATCAGTAGCAGACTCATACTGTCGTTGCCATGGCAGTTATCGCCATTCTAAGACATCGCCATGGCAATCATATCCATTCCAAAAGTTCATTATGATATTCATCACCATTCTAAAACATTGCCATGTTAATCATCATTATTCAAAGACATCGCCATGGTAATCACCACCATTACAAGACATCGCCATGGTAATCATCACCGTTCCAAGACATCGCCATGGTAATCTTTGTCATATTCATCGCAATTAAATGAAGGAAGCAGGCATGTTTCTGAAGGTAATCTTACAATGTTTCTGAAGGTTAACTCACCATGTTTCTGAAGGTCAACTCACCATGACCTGACCATGTTTCTGAAGGTCAACTCACCATGTTTCTGAAGGTCAACTCAACATGTTTCTGAAGGTTAACTGACCATGTTTCTGAAGGTTAACTCACCATGTTCCTGAAGGTTAACTCACCATGTTTCTCAAGGTTAATTGACCATGTTTCTCAAGGTCAACTCACCATGTTTCTCAAGGTCAACTCACCATGTTTCTCAAGGTTAACTCACCATGTTTCTGAAGGTCAACTCACCATGTTTCTGAAGGTCAACTCACCATGTTTCTGAAGGTCAACTCAGCATGTTTCTGAAGGTCAACTGACCATGTTTCTGAAGGTCGACTCACCATGTTTCTGAAGGTCGACTCACCATGTTTCTCAAGGTCAACTCACCATGTTTCTCAAGGTCAACTTACCATGTTTCTCAAGGTCAACTGACCATGTTTCTCAAGGTTAACTGACCATGTTCCTGAAGGTCAACTCACCATGTTTCTGAAGGTCAACTCACCATGTTTCTCAAGGTCAACTCACCATGTTTCTGAAGGTCAACTCACCATTTTTCTGAAAGTCAACTCACCATGTTTATGAAGGTCAACTCACCATGTTTCTGAAGGTTAACTGACCATGTTTCTGAAGGTTAACTCACCATGTTCCTGAAGGTTAACTCACCATGTTTATGAAGGTCAACTCACCATGTTTCTGAAGGTCAACTGACCATGTTTCTGAAGGTCAACTCAGCATGTTTCTGAAGGTCGACTGACCATGTTTCTGAAGGTCGACTCACCATGTTTCTGAAGGTCGACTCACCATGTTTCTCAAGGTCAACTCACCATGTTTCTCAAGGTCAACTTACCATGTTTCTCAAGGTCAACTGACCATGTTTCTCAAGGTTAACTCACCATGTTCCTGAAGGTCAACTCACCATGTTTCTGAAGGTCAACTCACCATGTTTCTCAAGGTCAACTCACCATTTTTCTGAAAGTCAACTCACCATGTTTATGAAGGTCAACTCACCATGTTTCTGAAGGTAATACTGAGCTGCCCTGAACTAGATTGGTACTCCATTGTCCCCACATTGTTCAGTATCTCCCCGCTCATCTCACCCTTTGCCTTCACATCACTCTTCAGCAAGTCCTGGGCTTGCTTCTCACTGAAACATCAATTCATGTCCTCAGTTTACTCCAATGAAAGCTATCACTTTCTCCATTCTAATGTTGTTACCAACAAGCCATTTACGTCATGCGTGTGAATGGAGCTAAGAGAAAAGGGGCAAAAGGGAGACAACTCAATGAAGTACTCCTGACCTGATAATGGTTGCCTTGACTTGAGGTGGGTTCATGTGCACGTTCAGTTTCCCTCCAACCAAGAGACGAACCGTTGCAGCAAATCGGGCATCTTTCTTTAATACTTGAGGGGGCTGCGTCTCCACTATAAAGGTGCTGGAAAAATACAAATCAAGATTTAAGTTCCTCCTCTGATCCAGTGTTTGAAGTAAATATAAAACCCAGCAAGAGAGTAAGGCAGGTGACCCATAAATGTTGCCTGCCCATCCTCAAAATTACCTGCCCACATTCAGATATTATTAATGTTGAAATCGCGAAAAACAAGATACAAATCGCATCTTGATTCAGTTGAATACAAACAATTCCTTGAGAATCTACGAGGAGTTTTAATAAACCTGAATACAAGTGAGTGAGTGTGTTTTACGCCGCTTTTAGCAATATTCCAGCAATATCTCCGCGGAGGACACCAGAAATGGGCTTCACAAATTGTATCCAGGTCGGGAATCGAACCTTGGTCTTCGGCTTGACGAGCAAACGCTTTAACCACTAGGCTACCCGACTGCCCCAACTGAATATGTAACTAGTCGTAAATTTATCTGCCAGACAGACGGGCAGGTGGAGGAAAATTTCATGCAGGCCAACTGAAAAGTTACTAGCCACAAGCAGGCGACAGGCAGGCAGGCAGTTATTTCTGACACTGCTATAATCTGTAACCAGAGTATTTAACATTTTGCAGGATAGGAACCTTCTAAAATCTAGATGTCTTGATCCAACTTTCCATTTGCAAAAAGCAGGTTTGTGTGCAGTCTATTGAACTAGGTGCACATATGGAAAACGTACTAAAAAACAATTTACTACAGAGGCTTATCGGGTAATCACTCACCATCTTTACAGTATAGTATAAAAGCTATTTTAAAATAGTTTAACCACATATGGATAAAACAGTGCTATCACAGAACACAGAACAAGTTTACAGTGTGAGGATGTCATAGTTTAGAGAATGTTACAGCACAACTGGCATTTCAGATACACGTCAGTAAATTTACTTCAGGCCATAAGGACCCATACAAATTTGAAACTATGGGCCCGCCACAAGATCCACCTGCCACGAGCCTCTGGGCAGGTGCTTGTCTAGCACACTCACCTTGTGACAAGTGATGACAGGAGCCCTGTGATGCTGTCATTGAGTTCTGGGAGGAGGTTTTTGGTTCCTGGCGGGAGGTCGATTGGAAGTTGTGCTCTCAACAAGTTCACTTTTTTTATTTGCTGCCGATTCTGCCATATCAGGTCTGCCAACTGTTCACACCTGAAAAATAAGGAAAAATGATTTGTGTACAACCTCCTGGGTTTCCTAGCAGTAAAACAAGGACTTAATAAACAAAATGTATCCCAAAATTAAAATGCTAGCTTCATTAGGCTAAAACAAATATTAGTCTTGGTTCTCAGGTACCACCCGTATCATCATAAAGTCTGCCGCACATTTTGTGTTTATTTCCAATTTCAAAAAAATATGAAAATCTTAATACTTTTAACACAATGCACACACAAAATTGAAAATTGAAAAAAATGAAACATGCAATGAACTTTATGATGATGTGGGCAGTGCCTGAGAACCAAGACTATTATTATTTTTAGCCTTACAGTTACTCAGCAATATTCCAGCAGCCTGCAAATGATCAAGTCTGGACCAGACAATCCACTGATTGATATAATAAGCAATATCCCACACCTTATGGGTTCAATGACATGCAATAAACCATGCCATCAGATCTAACCACCAGATCCATTGTCGCTTCTAATGACAAGCAAAGGTTGTTCGGGACCTATTCTAACCTGATTTCTCTTTATGTACCAGTAACACCAAACACCAAACCTGGTACCCAGTAGAGATGCAGGAAAGTTGCCCCTAGTAACCAATGCTTGTTGTACAAGGCGACTAAATGGATTGGGTAGTCAGTCTTGGTGGCGTGTCTTCATATACTGACAACTTGGGACGTTGTGCACAATATCGTCTGTGGTTCGTCTGGTCCAGACTTGATCATACACTGGCCATATAGGCAGAATGCTGAACATTCACTCCCTGATACAAAGTGGAACGCACTACCGTGAACCGACCATTTCTGCAGAGTCTCCAGTCCTTCATTGAGAGGGGCTCCATTGCCAGCCTGCTGTTGCTGCCGCTTCCACTGGATGAGCTCTGTGTCAAGCACCTGCTTCTGCAGCTCCTGAAGACCCATCAGGGTGCTGTTGTAGTAGAGGGCAATGGTCTGCAACCACACATCACACACATTGTACATGGGACAGCAAACAGGGAAATACATGAGTGTTCAGTCATAAATCTATCATATCTCATGAATGAATTGAGTATTGCCACTAAAAGTATGGACCATCTTGATTGAATGTATGGACCATCTTGGTTGAATGTATGGACCATCTCAACTGAATGTATGGACCATCTCTGTTGAATGTATGGACCATCTCAGTTGAATGTATGGACCATCTTGGTTGAATGTATGGACCATCTCGATTGAATGAATGGACTATCTCGGTTGAATGTATGGACCATCTCGGTTGAATGAATGGACTATCTCGGTTGAATGTATGGACCATCTTGGTTGAATGTATGGACCATCTCGGTTGAATGTATGGATCATCTTTGTTGAATGCATGGGCCATCTCAATTGAATGTATGGACCATCTCAGTTGAATGTATGGACCATCTTGGTTGAATGTATGGACCATCTTTGTTGAATGTATGGACCATCTCGGTTGAATGTATTGACTATCTCAATTGAATGTATGGACCATCTCAGTTGAATGTATGGACCATCTTGGTTGAATGTATTGACCATCTTGGTTGAATGTATTGACCATCTCAATTGAATGTATTGACCATCTCAATTGAATGTATTGACCATCTCAATTGAATGTATGGACCATCTCAGTTGAATGTATGGACCATCTCAGTTGAATGTATGGACCATCTTGGTTGAATGTATTGACCATCTCGGTTGAATGTATGGACCATCTCAGTTGAATGTATTGACCATCTCAATTGAATGTATTGACCATCTCAATTGAATGTATTGACCATCTCAGTTGAATGTATGGACTATCTCGGTTGAATGTATGGACCATCTCGGTTGAATGTATGGACCATCTCAGTTGAATGTATGGACCATCTTGGTTGAATGTATGGACCATCTCAGTTGAATGTATGGACCATTTCAATTGAATGTATTGACCATCTCAATTGAAGGTATGGACCATCTCAGTTGAATGTATGGACTATCTCGGTTGAATGTATGGACCATCTCGGTTGAATGTATGGACCATCTCATTTGAATGTATGGACCATCTTGGTTGAATGTATGGACCATCTCAGTTGAATGTATGGACCATCTCAATTGAATGTATGGACCATCTCAGTTGAAGGTATGGACCATACATTCAATCGAGATGGTCCATACATTCATCCATGTTGTATGTATGGACCATCTATGTTGAATGTGAAGTGACTCACAATTCTGTGCTGTAAAAGCTCCTGGGCCTTTTGAGAAAGCTGCTGCTCCACCTTCTCCTTCTCCTTCCGCAGCATCGCCTCCTTCGCTACGATTTCCTGCGTCTGGTGCGGGGACTGCAACTGCGTGATCTGAGCTGAAAAAATGTAACAAATATGTTTCATGCTTGTGACAATAAACAATACTTTCATAAGTCTTTTCAAACCAACAACTAATTCTCCCTCAGTAATTCTGAAACAATTGATTCGCCCTTTTATAAGTCTCAAACCAACAATGAGCACTTCTAATTAAATGCCATGTTTTTATATGAGGAGTAGGGGCAAAGGGGGATAACTTGTGGATGCCAAGGCACGGGCTGTAGTCTGTTTAAAACTGTCTGTTTGTATAAGGTAGGGAAGCTAAAGCACTGTGTAGCGTCAGCTAAGGTAAAACATTAAATATCACCTTATAAGTCTTAAAAAAATAAAATAATTCTCCCTCTAAAAGTCTCAAACCAACAATTAATTCTCAGTCCATAAGTCTCCAACAAACAATTAATTCTCCCTCCATAATTCTCCCCCCGTAAGTCTCCAACAAACAATTAATTCTCCCTCCATAATTCTCCCTCCATAAGTCTCCAACAAACAGCCTCCATCAGTCTCTATCAGACAATTAATTCACCCATCATAAGTCTCCAACAAACAATTAATCCTACCTCCATAAGTCTCCAGCAAACAATAAATCCTCCCTCCATAAGTCTCAAACAAACAATTAATGTGAAATCATAAACCTTAACAAACCTTCACATCTTTGTAAACTGGCCAAGTTTTAGATGGCATGTTATTCACAATTTAACAGCAGAAAAATGAGCCTTGGTCTGATCCTGCATTGCCCTTGATTCATACAGGACTCTGAGCTCACCAGTTATCTTGAGGCTGTCTTGATACTGAATGATGAATGACTCCTGCTCCGACTGTAAATGTTTCAAGGTCTGCTCACTTGCCTGGAAGAGACATTCTTTCATTACTTCCCTCAGTGTGACAAGGGCGTTCAAAACCACAATCATTTTTTACAAAGAGGACATTTTTCTTCTTCTGACAATTATGTACTTTTTAGGGTAAAAATATTATTAGTACTTATCCTGACTCATACTTATTGCTTATTTCTACTCATTTCCGAAAGGTAGCTGAAATTTTCATGAACTGTGTTCCTGGAAAACAGAGAAAACATCTCACCCGAACGCACCCATGTAGTGCGCATATGCATTGGAAGCACATGACCAAGACCAGTTACTCGTCACTCTCTCATATCCCGTACTTGATTTGATCGAAACAGGGTAAGAGGGACGGCTGGGTGGGCGCTTTAGCATACAAGTCAGGGTAGGTATAAATAATATATTTACCCTAAAAAAGACATATGTTATCTGATCCTGACCCATACTAATTGCTTGCATCCTACGGTTGGTGGTAGGTTCCACCTGTTTGTGGTTCACATCGATATCTGTCCAATAAACTCCAGGGAATGTGATATTCTTCTTAATTTCTTCTTTATATCAAACAGGGTACCACCTCCTTCTTGTAGAAGAGAGTAGAAAACCTGTTACATTTCGCGGTTTTGTGACTTTGAACAAGTAAGTAGTTAAGAAAAGGACATACTTTTAACATAATGATCTGAATTACATAGCAAAACAGGAACATGGACTTTCAGTCGTGGTTATAGAACAGTAACCAGACATCAAGTCTACGTGAATACTGGGTGAGTGTTCTGGTAATAAGGCCTATCTTCTGTAAGGCATAATAATAATAATAATAATAATAATAATAATAATAATAATTGATTTGTAAAGCGCCTAATATCCATCGACAGTTGCTCACTGGCGCTGTGACAAAGTTAAAAAGTAATGTCTATGTACATATGCCAACAATCAGGAGATCTATTGAAAAGCTGAAGTGAAGAAGTGGGTTTTGAGGAGAGACTTAAACGTTTCCTTAGAAGCAGAGTTTCTCAGATTCAAAGGCAAAGAGTTCCATAACTGTGGACTGCAAAAGGAGAAGGCACGGTCAGACATAGCAGAAGTAGACAGAGGCTGATACAGTAGAGTTCCACCAGAGGATCGGAGAGCACGCTCTGGAGAGTACAGGGATATAAGATCTTTGAGATAGTCTGGATAGTCGCTATTGTTGAGGCAGTCAAGAGTGATGATACATAGTTAATTACCACTAATGGTTCAAACTGGTGAACTCCAGCCACATCTTGTGTGGCAAAATCTCTGAGGTAATGGTATCCGACCTCCACAAACAATCTTCCATAATCGTCGGGATGGAGCAGTTTCCATGTATCGCCAACGTAGATGCTATGGCTCTCACTTCCTGTGGGCTGGGGGATGACAGGGTATTACTCCTAGTTAAAGGAATGAACAGTTTGCTTAATCTTTGAGCTTCATCTGTTGAGGTAGATGCATAAAGCTCAAACTGGACATAAGGATAAATCCTCGGTGTCTTTGGACCCTAAGATCAATGACAGTGGCGTAGTATGAAACTGTCTTGCTGGCTGACCAGATAGTTGATTCTTTGCGATAAAATCCCATCTCAGGCTGAGATGGGCCAATGCATTCTCACTGCTATCAAATCGAGTACGTGAGAAAGCAATTGCATGAATCTCTGACATTGCAGATAGTCAAAATCAGCTTGTTGTAAGGGTTCAAACGCTTCACTGGTAGATTAAGCACCACAGTCTGAATTTCTTCTGTTGATCTTCAAGACTGTACCATCTTATTAAGGCCAATACTTCTGGAACTTTGATGAGCTTAATTCCGTTATGCATTGTTAGAAGGAACTAGATGCTGCAAGATAGGTGCTTAATGTTGAACCTTTGAGATGCCTTGTACATGTAAGTGACAATGGCATTCTGCTACTTGTGGTAGGGTAGCTATAAAAATCTGTATAGGTCGAAAACTGGTCAAAACTCTTCCATCTTTCATCGAAGGGATAGTGAGTGAGTGAGTGAGTTGGGTTTAACGCCGCTTTTAGCAGTATTCCAGTTATATCACGGCGTGTCAGCTAAATGTGGGAGGAAAGCCTGAAGTGATGCAGGTCTCAGACGTTTACCCCTTCGATGAAACCCACGAGCACGGGTATGGTGCTGACAAACCTAGAAACATAATCGGGGCGAACCCGGTTTCAAACCCACAATCATAGGTTTCTGACGTGCCCAAGGGACGCAACTCTGCACAGGGAATCGCGGCGCCTTAGACGACTGGGACACCCGTGCCCCCTCGAAGGGATAGCGAGACAGGCTTGGCTGCTCCGTCTGAATATCCTGTCTAGTGAGGTTGAATGTGATATGTTCCATATGTGAATTTCATAAACGTCTGGGTTTTAATAAAATTGCATAGGGTGAGGATGAAGAAGAAGACTTGGCCAGCTTGGGAGCTTTACTGTTGGTTTCCCTGCTAGTATTATGAGATCTGGCAACCAAGTCTTTGCTGGCCAATAAGCAGTAGTAGGTTGTTGGTCTGTTTGATTTTCTAAATGATCAGTGGTATTAGTGCTGGTGGGGGGAAGGTGTAAGCTTGTAGCCCTTCCCAAGATATTGCCAGGGCATCGAGGGCCCAAGCTAGTGGGTCCGGTACTGGTGAGACGAATGGCGTTAACTGTTTGTTGAACCTTGTTGCAAATATGTCTACTGATGGGCAACCTTTCTCCCTTGTTACCAGCTGGAGTGCCCCCTGATGAAGCATCCGGTAGGACATTTAACGAACCTGGGACACCTCATACTTTTATTCCCAAATTGAGACGAGTAACTGGTCTTGGTCACGTGCTTCCAGTGTGCATATGGAGTCCAGGGTGCGTTTGGGTGAGATGTGTCCTCTGTTCTCCAGAAACATTTTTCAGGAAGTTTCCACTACCTTTCGGAAATGAGTACAGATAAGCAAATAGTATGAGTCCCTATAAGATAAACATAATATTTTTGTGTTTGTGGTTAAACCTGAGAACAAATTATTTCATCCCAATTTCTTCTGGAACAAATTTTTTTTTAAATCATACTTATTTTCCGAAGAGTACACGTAAACCTCTTAACAGTGCCCTGTGGCACACGTGAAATAAACTCCACGTCTCTCCCTGCATGGGCGTACCTGAGTTCTCTGGACTTGCTCCTCCAGCTTCACCTCAATCTGAGCACTCACAGACGGCACCATCGGAGTCGATTCAACTTTCTGCTCAGGCTGAAAAAAGAGTGTCCCACATGGTGAGCTACAGAAATTGAGCCTCATTTCAAAAAGCGGTCATAGCACTACGACCTTCTTAAATGTAGGTTTAAGTGGAGGAGTTACGATAGTCACAGCTCAGGACCTAGGAAGCTAACAGTCATCAAACACATAAACTGACCTTGATTTCTTGTACTATTTCAAGCAAACAGTAAGTCAACCCTTTCTTAATGTGTCAGTTGGATTCCCGACATGGGTACAATGTGTGAAGCCCATTTCTGGTGTCCCCCGCCGTGATATTGCTGGAATATTGCTAAAAGTGGCGTAAAACCATACTCACTCACTCACTTAATGTGTCAGATTTCCAAATGGCCAACAGAGCCAAAAGTCAATTTTAATTTTCTCTTTTGCTCTTTTTTTATGGATTTGAATATGAAGAGATAAAAATGAAGCAAACCACAACTGATTATTTTAGTCAAACAAAATAAATACAAAGTATACATTAAAAAATCTCTAACTTCTGCTTCACTCCTGTGTTTACACCTGACATTTTCACAGAAGTGAGTATATGTCACTAAAATCATAGTAAACATCCTATAGACATGATAGATGTTGTGACCAAGCGGTATTCAACAGCACAACTTAATGACACAAAACAGCTTGTCTAAAAGATGGGTCAAGGGGGACAACTCTGACACTCACTGCTTTGGCTTGCTCAATGAGATTTTTCTCCATTTGCAGACAGTTCTTGATAACCCGGACCAGCTGGAAGGGGTTCTGTTCATAGTTTTGCTGAAAACAATAACGGTCCATTATACATGTTATAAATGTAGACAAATCACTATTTCAGTATAAGCCATTTTTTTCTAAGTTGGTTTACGTATTTTTCACCCAAAAAATCATTTATATCACAGCGTGTCAGCTTAATGTGGGAGGAAAGCCTGAAGTGATGCAGGTTTCAGACGTTTACCACTTCGGTGAAACCCACGAGCACGGACATTGTGCTGACAAACCTAGAAACATAATTGGGGCGAACCGGGATTCGAACCCACAATCATAGGTTTCTGGCGTGCCCAAGGGACACAACTCTGCACAGGGAATCGCGGCGCCTTAGACAACTGGGCCACCTGTTCCCCCTTAAATAATATGACAAGGCAAGGTATCCATGTGATTTGACTTACTACCCCTCACTGTGAACACTGCATTGTCATGTAACTTACTGCACAAGCAAAGCAATCTGCAAAGTAACGGACATCATGGCAAAGTCGTCTCATTACTGCACTGTAAGATTCTAGAAATATATTTTTTTATTCTCATACAAAAGTTTTTGGGGACAGCAGTGACAAAAATATTTGTATTGTTTTTCTTTAATTTTTCTTAATTTTTTCAGTATTTTGGGTGGCAGTATCCATAAACCAAATTTTAAAAAGGCCTATCACAGTGTGTCTGCCTAACTGTTGGAGGAAAGTCCAAAGTGATGATAGTATGGTGTTGACAGGACAAGGATCATAATAGAGGGTGTGGCGTTAAACAACAAACAACCATACAGGTGATTCTGTGATTCATGACCAGCACATCATGGAATGGGTAAGGGGCATAACTCTGCAAAGACCACCACTAATGCCAAAACGTGCAAGATAAGTGATGGGGACTCCCAAAATCAAACCTGGATCATTAAGGTGAAGAGCAAACACTTTAACCACATGGCTATCCCAACAACACCATAAGGGCAGGGTAGATGTAGCCAATAAATATGTCCAACAGGTAGAGAAATACTTCAAAACTTTGCAAATCTAATTGTATCCTTAGTGCAAATCAAATTACAGGCTGAATCTGGCAGTGTGGCTGCAGTGGAAAACTTGGTTGTGATTTTGTGAGCTAAACCAATCCCCATCACTGGGGACATTTACACACAATTCAAGCTTCATGCATAAATGACATTTTTCACCATGGTAACCCCACATCATAGCATCAAAGGTTTTGGAATCTTACTTCATAAATCTATACATCATCGTGATGGTCATATTGCCAATGTCCCATCAATACAATCTTCTGAGATCAGAATTTTCATGTCTGAAATACACAGATGTTATTAATTTATCAGTGCAGTTTTTTCCTCGTTACCTTGAACGTTGCTGTTGCCTCCTGCAGCTTGAGTCTGATGGGGAAGAACTGGTCTCCCTCAAACTCCTGCACCTTATTGGACAGGTTCATGACCAGCTGCTCCAGCAGCGTGCTGGCAACGCTCTCGTGTTGGGGGTTGTCCGTCTCGATACTCATCCTGAAACAAATCATTCACTATCACCTACTTGGGCCTCACTTTCACCAACTTTGGCCTCACTTTCACCCACTTGGGCCTCACTATCACCCACTTGGGCTTCACTATTACCCACTTGGGCTTCACTATAACTAACTCAGGCCTCACTATTACCCACTTGGGCTTCACTATTACCCACTTGGGCTTCACTATCACCCACTTGGGCCTCACTTTCACTCACTTGGGCCTCACTATTACCCACTTGGGCTTAGCTATTACCCACTTGGGCCTCACTATTACCCACTTGGGCTTCACTATTACCCACTTTGGCCTCACTTGTACCCACTTTGGCCTCACTATTACCCACTTGGGCTTCACTATTACCCACTTGGGCTTCACTATTATCCACTTGGGCTTCACTATTAACCACTTGGGCTTCACTATTACCCACTTAGGCTTCACTATTACCCACTTGGGACTCACTATTACCTACTTTGGCTTCACTATTACCCTCTTTGGCCATGTTGGGTTGTCTTGTTTCACACAAAAGGTTTCACATAGTTTTCCTATTTCGAACAACAAATATGACTTTTTTAATGCAAGATATGGCACCTATTATATATGTATTCATTCCCTGACAGATAGCGGTAATCTGATCGTGGTTGCTGTAAATAATGTTGAGTTGGTGTGATCTACCAATCAGTTCACATAAGATTTCACTGAAATTAATGTAAATAATATTGAATGATATCTTGAATAAAATTAATAAACTAGATAAAAATCCAAAAGCCAGACATACAATGAACACTTTATGCAACCAGATAGCACAAAAACAGGAGTAACTTGCATACCTGAGTTTGGATTAGTTGTACAGTAGTATTGGCCGGTGGTATTGCCTGTGTGCATGGTGTGTATATACCTGAGTTTGTATTAGTTGTACAGTAGTATTGGCCGGTGGTATTGCCTGCGTGCATGGTGTGTATATACCTGAGTTTGGATTAGTTGTACAGTAGTATTGGCCGGTGGTATTGCCTGCATGCATGGTGTGTATATACCTGAGTTTGGATTAGTTGTACAGTAGTATTGGCCGGTGGTATTGCCTGCATGCATGGTGTGTATATACCTGAGTTTGGATTAGTTGTACAGTAGTATTGGCCGGTGGTTTTGCCTGCGTGCATGGCGTGTATATACCTGAGTTTGGATTAGTTGTACAGTAGTATTGGCTGGTGGTATTGCCTGCATGCATGGTGTGTATATACCTGAGTTTGGATTAGTTGTACAGTAGTATTGGCCGGTGGTTTTGCCTGCGTGCATGGCGTGTATATACCTGAGTTTGGATTAGTTGTACAGTAGTATTGGCTGGTGGTATTGCCTGCATGCATGGCGTGTATATACCTGAGTTTGGATTAGTTGTACAGTAGTATTGGCAAGTAGTATTGCCTGTGTGCATGGTGTGTATATGGTGTATCCCACTCTTTTACTATTCTTTTATAAATGGGCATTGAATTATATGCAAGAAAATATGGTATTCATGAATAATTACTTGTATTTGTTACCTCATAATCATGACATGAATTGTATTTGCCACTTAGCGTATTCCTCACAACACCAGAAAACATGTTTAACACCAAACAACTTTAAACAGAAAGTCCCATGCTCTTGACTACCTTAATAAGAAAGCCATATGCACTGGAAGTTTAAAGACTCTGACCTGCAACTTTAGCCAACCAAATGATTTATTACTTCCAGTTAAAAACATGGGCATAAGCTGTGAAAACAAGTCATACAAACACAGGTGTTGCTTCAGTACAAAAACAAGAACTGCTTTCAGAAATACCATTCCAGTGGCCTTATCCTTTTAATGAAGGTGACCCGTGAAGATCAGGGGTAGAATAGATCTTCAGCAACCCATGCTTGCCGTAAAAGGCGACTATGCTTGTCGTATGAGGCGACTAACAGGATCGGGTGGTCAGACTCGCTGACTTGGTTGATGCATGTCATCATATCCCAATTGCATGGATCGATGCTCAGGGTGTCAATCACTGGATTGTCTGGTCCAGACTTGATTACTTACAGACTGACGTCATATAGCTGGAATAGTGCTGACTGCGATGTTAAAAAACAAATATACAAAAAAAATTAATGTGGGTCACTGAAAGCCTTACCACATCAAAGCCCCACCCTAAGGACAACATGTACCATTTTTCACCAATCTACTTTGAACATTTCTTGACTTTTTGTGAACATACTGTAATACATTCTTAAATCAGAGCGAATTTGACCTTCAACATCAGTTGCAAGTATTTCCAGACCATTCCTAATGGATATGAATCATATGAACCAAAGAAGTGGAATTCATTGCAACAAAAATAAAGACTGTGCTACTCGCTGAAAGTACCACTACCTGTACGCCACTATTACCTGTCATAACCTACATACATATTCAAGTAATATAATAAATACATAAGGCTTCCACATTATTCACAGAAATAGGCATTTTAATGAAAGTGGAAACCTTAAAACATCCCCATATATATCACGTACATGGGGCTGCATAATTAAGTATAACGAAACATATCATATTGTGGCTGGCGTTAGTATCGATACATCAGGTAGGCATGTAAAGACATCCCTAATACATGTAATATATATACATGCATTGTCTTCCAGGGGGTTGGGATGACAGTGTGTTAAAATGTTGACTTATCTTAAAACTATCGGGGACCATCAGGAGGGGTTTTGTTTTTTCGTTGTTTAACGCCGCACTCAGCAATAGTCCAGCTATACGATTGCGGTCTGATAATAATCGACTCTGGACCAGACAATCCAGTGATTGATATCATGAGCAACAATTCATGCAATTTGGACACGATGACATGCATCAACCAAGTCAGCGAGCCTGACCACCCGATCCTGTTAGTCGCCTCTTACAAGCATGTTCGCCTCTTACGACAAGCATAGTCGCCTTTTATGGCAAGCATGTATTGCTGAAGACCTATTCTACCCTGGATCTTCACAGGTCCATCAGCAGAGGTAGATACCAATATCACAGAGCTTCCCCAGCTACAACTGTTGTAAATCAATGTTAAAGTATGGGAGTTACCATCGGAACTGGCCCCAGACCTACATCACACCCTTGAGTGAGTGAGTGAGTGAGTGAGTGAGTGAGTGAGTGAGTGAGTGAGTGAGTGAGTGAGTGAGTGAGTGAGTTGTGTTTAACTTCGCTCTGAAGTGAATTCCAGGAAAGCCCAAAGGGATGCAGGTCTCAGACATTTACAAATTTGATAAAACCCACAAGCATGATATGGTGCAGACAAACCTAGAAGCATAATCAGAGCGAACCAGGATTCGAACTCCTGATAATATGTTTCTGGCATGGCAACTCGTCACAGCGAATTGCGACGCGTTAGATGACTGGACCACCTAGGCCCTCAAACAAACCCCCGAACAGCTATGAAAGACTTACCATGGCTGGTCCTCTATCCACTGAGCCAAGAAGTGTCTGACTTCGATGGGGAATTGACTGGAATAGATGGACTGGATCTGCCTTGTTGCCTGTGGGTACTGCTGGATGGTAGCCCACTGGGCCATGCTGGCTGGAAACTGCTTTTGCTGGGTTCTTCAATGTAGCTGTAGAAGCAGAACTCAGATCAAAACAAATGTTGACATGCATCCACCAGAAGGAGCATTAAGACTCTGTAGCTTACCTGGGTATTTAAGAATTTGGAAAATTATGTAACAAAACATATCTGCAAAAAAAGAATTGTACAAAATATGACACGCCTACTTTATGACAATGACCTTGAACTTATTATTATATGAAGGTCTTTCAAAAGCTCATCATGGCCACACCCTATGGGTGCCATGTACAAGTTTCACAGGCCAAATTCGTGAGTCTTTTCCAAACATGGCCTTGAGAATGACTCTGGACAATCAATAAGTGATCACCTGGATGATTTTGTACAAGAATGGTGTTGTTTTAGGGGGAAATGGTGAGTGAGTGAGTATATTTTTACGCCGTTCAATAGTCGAGCAATATCACGGTGGGGTACACTAGAAATGGGCTTCACACATTGTACCCATGACGGGAATCGAGACTGCTTCTTTGGCCTGAGGAGCAAATGCTTTAAACAAGAGACTATCCCACCACCTGGGGGGGAGGGGGGGGGAAGAGAGACATAGTTAAAACTTGCAAATCTGATTTTGCATCTAAAATTTTTTCAAGGAGGCAGCCTTAAGCACCAATGTTAAGTCAGGTGTCATATAAAAAAATTCATTCCTTAAGTTTCGGTCAAGGGTCATACATGAATTCTTACACGAGTTTTGTAAAATCAGTAATTGATTTATTACCCATTATTTCTTAATACTTTTAAAAAAATGCCCAGATGATGACCACAGTCTTAGGTAAACACATGAATGTCAAATGATATCAACAATCTTCAGCTATTAGTCATTGCTAGTGTGACATCATTCCGATCTTATGTCACAATAAGATTAGAATGACGTCAACAATGCCATCCGGATGATGTTTAACGCAACACTCAGCAATATTCCAGTTATATAACAATGGTCTGAAAGTAATCAAGTCTGGACCAGACAATCCAGTGGATTATCTAAACAAAATGCTGGTGTGGGTGAAGCGATATTTGCACATACAATTTTTATGCACTCAGTTATTTCTTACCCTATTGGTTATAAGTATATAAAAACATAGCACAACAGAACCCCAACACACCAAGGAAGGCTTTTCAAACAAGCACAATCCAGGGATTGAAAAATACCATTGCCTGATGCCCATGCCAAGTAAGGTTTAGATGTCGGATAGGTCATATACGTTTTCTAGCATGCCCGTGGACAAGTAGAGCATACAAAATGAACTGGGTCAAGTTTTACGAGAATATAATCATGTGATCATGTTACGATATTTCATCGGCTAATATCTTGCTATTGTCACAGAATTGCAATCTAATTTGCATACAGTTACACCAGTTAACCAATGGGATTAATACACTTCAATGTCAGGCAGGTCAGCAACAATGAGAACCAGGTCTGTTTCATTGATAAATCGTAGTAAGACTCCCATATATTTCACATGCTTCTTGGAAATTGAATGATGGACAGTTGATACATTTCTGGGAATTTTAATGCGAGGTAGGCCTAGTGCTGACTTTAGCAGCTTCGCTTGGCCCAGCTTTGATGAAATATTTTATTTGAATACACATGGCTCACATGCTCTCGATCCTGAAAACTTTGTTGACACATAAGTCAAACTATAACAAATATGACTTTTAACGAGTCAAAGTATGGCATTTATGATATATGTATCCACTACCTATCAACTAAAGTTTGTTTCGAGGGGTTAATAGCGATAATCTGACAGTGGTTGCTGTAAATAATGGCGAGTTATGCAATCTACCAAATCCACACAATTTCGCGGAAATCAATCAAAACAATATTGAATGTAATTTTGAAGAAAATAATAAAATATAAGTCCAGATATTCAACGAACATTTTATAACCAGATAGTGTAATAATAGGACTAAATTGCGGACTTCATTTCGGATATGTTGATTGGTTCTTCCGGTGTTGCATTCTTGCAGTGATAATCTGGAAATGTTTTTATTTGCGATGGGGAAAGACATCGTGTCAGAGTAAAACTTGAGTTTACTAAAAAATGAACATAAATTTTGGGAACTATGTATTACTGTGCATTATATCCGAGTTAGCGCTATATTGGAGGGCGCTGCCATGCAACCTTTGGTGTCCAAATAATTGATGTGTGTTATAGGCGATCAGTGGTTTCACGGATGTGGAATCATAGGGGGTTTCACGGATGTGGAGTCACAGGGGGTTTCACGGATGTGGAGTCACAGGAGGTTTCACGGATGTGGAGTCACAGGAGGTTTCACGGATGTGGAGTCACAAGGGGTTTCACAGATGTGGAGTCATAGGGGGTTTCACGGATGTGGAGTCACAGGGGGTTTCACGGATGTGGAGTCACAGGAGGTTTCACGGATGTGGAGTCATAGGGGGTTTCACGGATGTGGAGTCACAAGGGGTTTCACAGATGTGGAGTCATAGGGGGTTTCACGGATGTGGAGTCACAAGGGGTTTCACAGATGTGGAGTCATAGGGGGTTTCACGGATGTGGAGTCACAGGGGGTTTCACGGATGTGGAGTCACAGGAGGTTTCACGGATGTGGAGTCATAGGGGGTTTCACGGATGTGGAGTCACAGGGGGTTTCACGGATGTGGAGTCACAGGGGGTTTCACGGATGTGGAGTCATAGGGGGTTTCACGGATGTGGAGTCACAAGGGGTTTCACAGATGTGGAGTCATAGGGGGTTTCACGGATGTGGAGTCACAGGGGGTTTCACGGATGTGGAGTCACAGGAGGTTTCACGGATGTGGAGTCATAGGGGGTTTCACAGATGTGGAGTCACAAGGGGTTTCACAGATGTGGAGTCGTAGGGGGTTTCACGGATGTGGAGTCATAGGGGGTTTCACGGATGTGGAGTCACAAGGGGTTTCACAGATGTGGAGTCGTAGGGGGTTTCACGGATGTGGAGTCATAGGGGGTTTCACGGATGTGGAGTCACAAGGGGTTTCACAGATGTGGAGTCATAGGGGGTAGATGACCAACAGAACAGTACATGCTCTCCCTACCTAACACGATCTACGATGCATGTTTCAGAGTTTGAAAGAAGATCACAAATGTAGTTGTTTATGATTCATAGTGTGAAAAGGAATATCAAGTGTTTGAAAAAATACATCATAATCCTACAGTGTATTCCGGTGAACGAACAGGTTTAACAAACTTGGTTGTTATAAAGATAAAATTTGACATAAATCCTCACAAGACATGACGATTTATCATTAAAATTACATTTCCTGCTCTCAAAGGCATTGTTTTATATGCAGAGATTAAGATAACTGTGTGTATTTTCTCGTAAACAAAGCCGGAAATAGCAATCAGCTGCACACTTGTGTTCTCCAACTGTGTTCTTCAGTTAAAAAGTACACAATGATACAACTTCAAAGAATTTTGATGAAATGGTCGGAAGAAATTGTACCTGAAATTATTATAATAATATATTCCAACATAATGTTATTTTGTTGCATCTTTTACAATATGTTAAAAATAATGAGAACCATAAGCGTAGTACTTTGGTACAACTGATTGCTATTGCCGGATTGTGGTAACCCCAGGCTACATACAATCATATAATAAACAAGACAACCCGGTATTAGAGGGATAGTCAAGATGTACATGTATTTACTCTTCTTGAGTGTTTACATTCATGGCGGAAGCAGCCGTCGCGAGGTTCCCAGAATTCCCTGCTAAGGGAGCAGTTATTATGCTTAAGTGGAAATCACGGGGAGTGGCTTATTGTTTAAACTGTTACTCTATGACACTCCTCCCCCATAGTTTTGTTGCACTTTAAACATAAACTACCATAATGAATCTACACATGTTGAAAGAACTGACAATTGCTCCAGAAGATGTCATTAAAGTGTCTCTTCACACATCTCATTGGAACATTTAAATGGAATTCAACCAATATTGTTCCAGATGTTATTTAGAGTCTCTCATGTCACACAATAACTGGAACACTTTAACTGTATATGCACTTGCATTAATGATTAAAGATAACTGGATATGCATCTGCTTTTGTCTGAATAAGGGAACCAATAACAAGATCCAAAACTATCAATCACTGATGGTTCACTTAGGTGACAAATAGTGTGAAATACATCACATTCTCATTACAGTTCATAACTCAGCAGCAATCTTTAGATTAAGTCTATCCGGCGCTTTCCGGATTCTGGAAGAACGACGAAATTCTTGCACACCACAAGAATCTGAGTAGGAGATGGTGCCTCTGGTAAGACCTGCCTTGGCTCGGGCCTTGTAGAAGTAACTTCATCTTGCAGGTGAGGGGTACCCGGAAGTACTGGAATGTTGCCAGGTTCAGGCAACATAGGTAACTTGTCGGGTAGTTCTGGTAGAACTGATTGTTCATGTGTTGATGGAACTGTTTTATCATGTTGGCTTTCATGCGTCAGGACATGGTGCAAATGCAGGTGATCAATATGGCGCTTGACAACACCACCATTGTCAAGACGAACATGGAACGACACTGGACCGGTTCTCTCTGTTATGATTCCTGACAACCATTTGTCACCAGGACGAAAGTTTAAAACATACACAAGATCTCCAACTTGCAAGTGACGGTCCTTTGCATGTGCATCATGTACTGACTTTTGCTGTTCTTGTTTGTTCCTAACTTTACAGCTCATATCTGGATGAAGAAGATTGAGATGAGACTTCGGTCTTCTTCGAAGAAGTAATTCTGCTGGAGATAACCCCGTTGTAGTCTGCGGGGTAAGTCTGTATCTGAACAAAAACCGTGCAAGTGTTGTGTCCAATGTGCCCCCTGTCATACGTTTAATGCCAGATTTAAAGGTTTGTACAGCTCGTTCTGCTAACCCATTAGAGGCAGGGTGATACGGTGCCACACATGTATGAGTGATGCCATTACGTTTCATAAAGACAGAGAATTCCTCACTTGTAAAACAAGTGCCATTGTCAGTGACCACTTGGTCTGGCAGTCCATGAGTTGCAAACA